GACCACAGCCTTGGCGTCAGGGGCTTGAACAAGGCGGTGCGTGTCTGGTCAGCGGATCAACCGAGACTAGATAGAATCTAACAGCCACGTGATGGATACAAATACAGATGCAGATACATATATCAGCACAAATGATATGAATATCTCGTTATTCTTGGTCCGTTGCTGATCATTTTGGTGTGCTCGCGAGAATAGAGGGTTGCATTGATGATTTTCCATTAACAGCCGCCTCAGCCCTGGATAAGAAAAGAGCCACATCGAGGCGACAGATCAGCTGTCTAAACCCTGCTGTGTGTCAATGGGACACAATGGGTACATACTGTAGCTTCTATCAAATCTTGGTTGGGGATCGACGGTCTTTGTTCAATCTCCAGTTGCTGGCTGAGCGATGTGGAGAAGTCGGTTGAAACGTTGCGGTCTCATGCTAATTCCGCAAATCAACATCAACAAACCCACTTGTGACTCGAGCTTGAGAGTGCAGTATCTAATACTATTGTCTACTGAATTTCCAACGGGATCGAGTAACTTGCGACATGGTAGAAACTATAATCCTGACGCGAGATTGCAGTTGGTGGCTAATGTGGTCTAGTACCTTTCCATTGACACTGATATCAAGATAAACAAGAGGCTGTAGGGCTTGGTCTATAAAGGATGTGCTTGGGAATGCGTGAGGTACGTACCTATCTGCTTCCTCACCGGCACGGGGATAATTTATGGGAGCCCCCTGTTATTCTCTTACCTTGAACCCCCGGAGCATGGGGCAGGGCAAGGTGGAACAGGGAAATAGGCTGTACATGGCCATGGTTTGGAGTCCAAGACAAGGGTTAACGTCCACCGTAGCAGCAGCCAAGTCAGGAACGGCATGGGCAATCGGTAGGGATCGACAAGGGTTCTAACTGTGGGCGGTGGAGTAGAGATCTTGGTAATGTTGGGTACCTACAGAGTACAGCCTAGTAGTTACTCTGTAATAGGTAGTATGTATACGGCTTGACTGACACCTGGTCATCCATTACAGGAAACAAGGGACGGACGTCTTCAGCACGTCATGGTTCCTCATCAATTTAATGCGACATGAATAGCGCGTTGAGGAAGCGTCCGAAGAATGCCACAGTAGCAATTGCCTAGCTCAAGAGAAAAGATCAAGAGTCTACACAGTTATTCCAAACTCTTGTAAATATTTTCCTGTCAAGTGAATCCGTTTTTGAGAAGTATTGCCCTTTTGGGATATTTGTCAAACTCATCCGAGCCAGAACCGGACGTAACGCGACTGTTGAGGTTCGGCACGAGCCTTAGGCCCGTGTTGGTGAAGTGCTGGTGTTGGTTCACGGGCAGTGACCTATCTTAAATCCATGGCGTGAGCCCCGCTGTTTACCTAGTTGCACTCCCGTCTCGTCCAACGTTCAACGTGCCGCCAAAAGCATAAGTCATATCGTCGTAGTGAGCCGTCAAACTCGGGTCCGAGTTGTTTGGTGGTAGCGACTTGCCTGAATAAGTACAAACAAATGATCATACAAAGAGCTCACAGCATATGTGTAACTTGCCGCGATAGTTTGTAACGCATTATGGGAATTTGTGGCGGGGCAGACGTAACAGATTGGACCCCTGTTCGGTCTCCAACAACAAATGCCCCTGCTTGCACATCAGATAAGAGGCTGTATCCATATTACTGTGCTTGCTTTTGAGATATTGTAGGGCGATGAGCAGGTTAGCAGCCTACATAGTACATCAGTGTCAAAGTTATGCAGAGTATAAATGAGCTTCGGAAATAAAACTTCCGAGTTATGAAAACCCCACCAGAAATGTGTGATCGACAGGCGTTGATTGCACTGGAGAGGCTACTAATGTACAGGCGGCAGGTACTGTACTGTGCTGCTGCGTGGTTTGACCAGCACTTGCCTTCCACTAAAGTGCGGATAGACGGGCATCGAGTTGAGACCCACTCTGGATGTCCAACGAATGGATGGTCTCATCCCGTCCTTGTCTATCATCGCAGCTTAGTTCTATTACTTACCCTAAACACCTACGGCGTGCATCAGATGCTTAGGCTCTGTTGCACGATTGGAAAAACTTACCCAGGTGCAGAGCCCGTACCAAACAGCAGCATCATTTCCACCGCCGTCAACAACAAGAATCTCCCTCCACTGATGTCCATGGACCCAGCGGGCTGAATCAGACCCTAGTCCGCGGCGCTCCCCAAAGCCAAGCCAACGCCAACGCCCTGAGCCCCCAGTCTCTCACTCTTAGTGGAGTTGCAGATGCAGTTTTAGGTGAGCCCTTCAGCCCGTCAAGTCCTCAAGGTGTCTGCGTGCCAGGTGCCAGGTGCCAGGTGCCATGGCTTGCCTTGGTTGGTCCACTTTGGATCTTCGTCTCCAAGGACATCCATCCACCCCATTCTTGGAACCCGCGATGCTAGGATGCCCATCTTTTCTCTTAGACAATACCTCATCCGGTACCTGAGGTGTAACAACAAAAATAGCTGTTACAGATTGAGAAGCTCTCGGCTCTTGCCGGAGATGCCGCGTTTTGCTATCTTGAAGGCAGTTTCAACTTTCGACATTGGTTCCCTCCCAAGTCAAGCCCAAGCTGGTCCGTGGATGTGGTGGTTGTGGCTGTCCCCTCTTTCTCCGCCAACCTGGGTTTCCCAGGCCGCTTGCGCACTACCAACCATCTGAACATTGGCTCCAGTATCATCTGTATTTCTCATGAACCCTGATCCAAGGGTTCTTGAGAGAAACATGCTTACTAGCGCTGGGCCACTTCATGCAGCTGGTCAGTCAGTCGGTCAATGGCGGCATCATCAAGCAGTTAACATTCTGTCTGCATTTTCGAGGGATATGCCATCCACATCCACATCCATCCCTTGCTTTAGCACATCAGAACTCAACGCCATTAACTGGATTAGACATCCATCACTGATTAGAGACTCGTCGGCTTTTGTGCCCCCTGTCCCCGTGGCAGGCTGGCTCAACGTCCTGGAATATGCAGTGTGCATTTAGTACGTGCCAGAATTTATTTCCCTCCCCCTCAAAGATTCTCTCTAACCTTGATAGGGTTAACCTGGTCTATTATTTGGAAAAGCCATCCAATCATCGTATCAGAAAAGCCTTGGAACATGGGGCTGCAATTGTACCTACCTCCCCGACGGCAAGTCTCTCTACGTTAGTGCTCAGCGACGAAGGCAATGGCAGTACAGCGCATTAAGCACAGTGAAGCAGTTAACAGGTAGGCGATGAAGCCACGCCACAGAAAGGTTTAGCTAGCTAACATGGGTACCTTTTGTATGTCCCATTCGCACTAGTAATGGATATTAGCCCGCGCTACACCACTAATTCGGATAATAATTGCCCTCCGTGTACTTGGTCAATGCCCTTTCAGAGCCTATAGTTGGTAATAGTTTCGCCTTGAGTCTTGACGCACTTTTAACCCACTTCAATTCACATAGGTAACGCAGCTACATGGCTGACTAGCTGCTGTATGCCTCCATCAACACAAGCCCAAGGTGGTTTAGTTAGAGGAGACGAGCTCGGGTCGCATACCGAGTACAACGTCTCCAACTGCCTGAGTCTGTTGTTAGCGGCAGCCGTCGTCTCTATTTTTGCCGTACCTTTCCTTTGCCTTGCATTGCCCTGCCTTTACCATCCCCTGACCTAACTAATTGACCCTTGATGGATGCGTCTCTTCATCTCCCTCTTCAACAGCCTCCCTCCACTTCCTTTCTCTTTACCTGATGTGCCGTCACGCTTTCTCACCCTTGGCTCACTCCCCCATTCCCCATCTTAATTCTTTCTCAATTTCCTCTTATGGTATTCACACCCCCCGTCACTTGTTGCCGGACGTGACCCACTGAAGCCCGCTGTTGCAGGGCAGGGATCCCTTGACTTCTTTGATCTCCTGCGTGGTTCATTGTTAGCCCCGGCGTATGGGTATGGATATAGGTATACGGATACCAGACCATGCTCGCCGTACACCTATGAACTAAGTCAGATTTGCGACGGCCCATCTTTCCAGCTTGAGGTGGCTACTGCTCTCGACCTGGTATTTAGCATCTGTGTGGCCCTGGCTAATGTACTGATACGGTACTCGATTCTGCACTACCTCACCTTACACCAAACACTCCTGTACTGAACCCCACTGCCCTTACCTAGCGGGATTAGAGCAGACCAGAGTAGAACCTGGTGGTTGTTCGTTCATATCTGTCGCCGTGCCCTCATTATAGTCTTGTATGGGGCTTTATCGAACGTCTAGTCTACCTGACTCGAATCAACTCAACTAGGCGCTACATGGTCCGTTCCGACGACTCGATACTTGTGGTAGACTGCGTTACGTTGCGTTAGCCATATTCTTGGGCGTTCATCGCTCCGAACCCAACCAGTTGTTATCCTGATATTCCCTTGTCCTTCCTTCTGGATCTTTTCCATCATCCCTCAAAGTACAACCGTCTGTAGCGGCGTCCCTCTTTTCAGGTGTACAACCCTCCCCGGCCCCAGCCAAATTTCTTCTCTAGGTACGATCCACTGGCCAATCCTAGGTAGTGCCTGCATTAACACGAGACGTTTAAGCACTCAGCTCCCACTCAACCTGGACCCTCAGCTTCACCCATCTCTTATATCCCACTCTCAACCGCTTCTTTACCACCGCCAATATTATATATACTCATCACCACCCAACCTCTTCAAGTCATCCATACTATAAACGCTTCTTCATTGTCAGATCCGGGCTTGTTCACGTTATCTTATGAGCGCTGCTTTATCCACGATTGACTCTATCGCCGCCTACTATACCCTAATTACAGGCAAAGTCTAATCATTTACCCATCGGTCCTTCTCGGCGACAGTAGAACACACCTACTGTACCGAGTCTGCAACTGTCAATTCGCGAACGATTGAAAGGAATTATGCTGTAGCTTGTCAGCGATTTGCCCAACTTCTATCTACTACAACACTGAGTACTGTTTTGCACGCATTGCCTCGAAGCAATATCGATACCTGGCAAACATAATCATGGAACTCATGGAACTAGTTGAGAACGAGCCCACTGCCCGTCCATTCCAGTGCGACTGGCAGTCTTGCACAAAGGTTTGTTGCTTCAGAGTCCGCCACGCCAACCTTTCTTGCTAACTTCTGACAGAGCTTTAATCGGAAATCTGATTTACAAAGACATTATCGTATACATACTAATGAGCGGCCGTATTCTTGCTCTATCCCTGGATGCGGGAAGAGTTTTATTCAGCGTAGTGCGCTGACGGTTCATATTCGAACACATACAGGGGAAAAGCCCCATCAATGCCAACACATTGGCTGTGGCAAACGGTTCTCTGATGTAGGTGAAAACAACTCAAGTGGCCGGCATGAAACCCACTAACAAACGTAGTCTTCAAGTCTTGCGCGGCACCGACGTATACACACTGGAAAGCGTCCATACAAATGTGCCCATGATGGCTGTTCCAAAAGGTAGGTTGTGTCAGCCCCATCAAACGAACCGCTTGCTAACACGGAACTCAGCTTTTGCAGAAAAACCACCATGGTCAAGCATCAACGGAGATCGCACCAGCAAGGGATGAACCCCAACGATATCGACGATTGCTCCTCGGATTCTGATGATGACGAGTCCCCCTCTACTCCCCAGCACTCCTCCATGACCTGGTCGCCTCACGACATGGTTTCTATGGGTCAAGCAGCACCAAACGGTTCGCTCCATCGTGCATCCTCTTATGCCGACTTCGAGTCTCAGGTTCATGGCCACCATATGCCACCTCATTATGCTCACAGGCATGGAATCCCCACCACTGTTCCCCATGAATATCACGGGCATACAGTGCCTGATCAGCACACCCACGTTCAACTTGTTCATCGAGCCGCAGCCATACCGCGTCAGGCATATTATGTAACCGAGCAAGGGAACCCTGGTGTCGCCACGATGACTAGTTCTTTGCCTGCTCATTACCACTTGTCACAACATGTGGAGCGACCTGCTATGGAGATGCCGTATTCGGCCCCAGGAATCCCGACGTCAATTCAGAGCAGCCCTAGCACCTTCTCTGCCACTTCGGTCCCGAGCCCTATGGTTCAAGATGGCTTCTATGCTCACCAGCCGACAACCCAGCCAGCATATACAGCAGCAGAAACTCAACCAGCTATGGTTCAGTACCACCAGCCTATTCAGCACCATATGGCACAGCCCCAGCAGCCGGTTGTATCTCAGCCACAGCATATGCCTGCCACGGCCGAGCACTACCCTCCCCCGTCAGCGCACCCGCAACAAGAGCAGTGGTCCCATTACGACCCGCCGATTGAGGTTACAACCATTGGGCAGCTGCCCGCGTACGGGAGCGCAGTATATGATATCTATGCGCCAAAGATAGAGTTCGATGATCCTTCACTGCAACTTCCCAGTAGCAGATTGGCAAGCATGTGATCAGTCTGCTCTTAACGCCATTCCATAATTTACGAATATTGTCTTTAGCACCCCACAAGACATCGCCCTGTTTCTTCACGATAGTTACCTGTAACATTACGATCATACCACGGCTGGACCACGCAACGATCTCTATTTCATGAAATTTATTTCTGCTCTTGAAGAGGATATACCCATCGGGACGTTATTGGAAGAGAACAGGATACATCGTTACTCGAAAACCATCAATCTTTCTCTAGAGCTTATGAAAGATGTCAACCACGATTCGGAACACCGTCATTGCTCCTCCCCCCCGTTGAACATTGTGTAATTCGAGCTAAGGAAGGGTTTGTTCATCTTTTGCCAATTGTTTTTCTATTTCTTTTTTACCCGAGTACCTGCGACTTTGGATCAAGGGTGTTGCAACGGCTCGTTATTGCTGTTCGGATCCTCTATAACTTGGGGCCATTCGAACGATAGCCCATTGCACTTGGATATCTTCTCTAATCTTGTCGTTGTATGTTTTCTTGTCTTTTGCAGCATTGAGTAGCACCAATACCCTATACAAGGTTTTTATGTTGAGTTTTCGTCGGGGCGGATAATTTACCAGGAGGGAGGTGGATGGCGGAAAGGGCTTGTGCAAACATACGGATCAACACCAGCATTAAATGTTTGGGGACTTGGGAATAGAGACCTATGTCCACACCTAATAAACATATATCATCTTATTACCAGGTCGCTTTTAACTTTTTCTCACATAATTCTTTAAGATAAGTAGTTAGAGTTAGAGCACTACGTAGCACCATAGCACCATACAATCCATGATAGAACATACCCGCACCATCCGCACACTACTCTACTATATTATCAACAGCTCTGATACATAGGAATCGCCAATAATGTCCATAAGTAGATTCAACTATTCAAATGTTGTGGTCGGGAGACGGAAGATCTGATGGCCGTGGTGTGATGACTCAGCAGCTTCCCGAAGAGGAAAGGCTATAGCTTGTGATGTGATGCCGAATCGCGGACCAGAGTGGCAAGCAGTCCGAACTCCCCCCATCGATTACATACCGATGATGCCTGCGCGCGATTCACTATGAGTGCATCCCGGTAAACTATTATTTCGTCTCTTTGAGCAGACTTAGCGTACGACATACCTGGTCAACAATAACCGTTTCTGTCCTGAGAAACTTTAGACGCGGCGGGAGGCGTAGATCAAGCCACCCATTACACGTCATTGAAACGGTTTATCATCATCTTTTCCTCCATTATCAGCCTACAAACATCATTTCAAAAGCACTTCTGGTGCAAGAAAACTTCCAGCATGGCCTATAATGCCATGGTGCTGCCAGTAAGTTGCTCTAGGGTCCAGGTATAGTCATAACCGAGCACTGACGAAACTTCAGAATGTGGCAGCGACAACTACGGAGTTATGGCCCTCGATTTCGAATATCCTTATGTCCCCTTGGAAACATACGACTTCACTCCCGGCCCGTCGACCAGTTTCTTCGAACGAAACTGTGAAAGAAAACAAAGCGGCTGAACCCCACCAAGTGAGTTGCAGCTCAGTGGTGTTGAAACATTATACTGACTCCAATTGCAGGCTGCCGAATTTCGGCTCCCCGAGTTCCTTCAAAAGGTTGACTTGGCCTCCTTCTCTCGTTCACAATTTTCTGCGATGGCATCGATAACTGCCCAGGCTACTATCTCGAACATGGGTCGTGTTGGCCTCCACGCGGCCAACCCCATTTTGCGACACCCCTACTTTCAACCCCGCGCATCGACTCCGTCGTCTTTCATGCGTTCGTTCTCAACTTCTTCCGGTATTCTGTCTTCTCGTGGTATCTCAACTCTCGGCCCATTTTCTGTCCAGCGCAGAGCATTCGGTAGCTCCAATGGGATCTCCCGCAACCAGCTCGCAACACTGGAGGAGTCCGCCAACCGAAACCCTGGTAATGCAAACGCCCAGAATGCTTTTTACCAGCTTCTTCTCCGAGCCAACATGCCTGCTATTCTTGTGGAACGATATCAATCCGGACGCTTCGCCACCAGCCCTGCTACCAATGACGCCTACCAGCGAGCCCTCGCTATGCTTGGTGCTAGTGCTACTCAAGCTGCGAATGCGCCTGGCGCTATGAACGGAAACTTTGGACGTACTCAGTGGCCCACTTATGAGCAAGGCATCGCCAACGCTGCTGTGGCTGGATCTGCAAATGCTGGCAACCCTATGGGTCATAAGGGAGAACCCATCCATGTCATCGTTCAAGAGTCAACTCGGTCTACTATTTTCCGCTGGGTCAAGTTTTTGGCAATCTTTATCGTCACTACCTATCTGTGTTTTGCACTTGTTACTATTGCTATTGAGGCGTTTAGCACTTTCCGTCGCGGAGGTCCTAACAGCAAACAGGATTCTGAGGTCAAGGCTGAGAAGCAAAACACTCGGTTCCAAGATGTCCACGGTTGCGATGAAGCCAAGGAAGAACTCCAGGAAGTCGTCGAGTTTTTGAAGAACCCTGAGAAGTTTAGCGACCTCGGTGCCAAGCTTCCTAAGGGCGTCCTCCTGGTTGGTCCCCCCGGTACTGGTAAGACGCTTCTTGCTCGAGCCGTTGCCGGTGAAGCCGGTGTTCCTTTCTTCTACATGTCTGGTAGCGAGTTTGATGAGATCTTTGTTGGTGTTGGTGCCAAGCGAGTCCGCGAGCTCTTTACTGCCGCCAAAAACAAGTCCCCCGCCATTGTCTTTATCGATGAACTTGACGCCATTGGAGGCAAGCGTAACCCTAGAGATCAAGCCCACGCTAAACAGACACTGAACCAGCTGCTTACCGAATTGGACGGTTTTGATCAAGACAGCAAGATCATTATCATCGGAGCCACCAACTTGCCCAAGATGCTGGATAAGGCCCTTACTCGTCCTGGACGCTTCGATCGACATGTCAATGTTGACTTGCCCGATGTTAGAGGCCGAATCGCCATTCTCAAGCACCATGCCAAGAAGATCAAAGTTTCTCCCGATGTCGACCTCGAGGCTATTGCTGCCCGTTGCCCCGGCCAATCAGGTGCTGAGCTAGAGAACATGCTCAATGTTGCTGCTCTTCGAGCCAGTCGAGCCAAGGCTAGCTTTGTTTCCAAGCAGGACATGGAGTGGGCATACGACCGAGTCACAATGGGTTCTGAGCGCAAGTCAATGGTAGTCACCGAGAAAGAGAAGGAAATGACGGCTTATCATGAGGCCGGTCACGCGCTTGTTCAGCTCTTCGACAAGGAGAGCTCAAACACTCTGTACAAGGTCACAATTCTCCCCAAGGGACCATCACTAGGACACACCGCCCAGCTTCCTCAGATGGATAAGTATTCCTACACAGCTGCGGAATATATGTCGAACATTCGTGTGGCACTTGGAGGCAAGATGGCCGAGGAACTGCGATACGGCGGTGATAAAGTAACATCAGGTGTTTCATCGGTAAGTGCTGTTATCAAATCACTCGTACCATATGCTAATTCTTTTAGGATCTTGAGAGGGCCACTGACCTGGGCTTCATGATGGTTACCCTTTTCGGCATGTCCAGCGTACTAGGACCCGTTGAATACGGTCGAAGATACGAGAATCTCAGCTCTGAAACAAAGGCAGCAATCGAAGGCGAAGTCCGGAAAACGATAGGAAAGTCGTACGAGGATGTGCGAAAACTGTTGACCGAAAAGCGAAGCGAGTTGGACTTGTTAGCCAAGGCTCTTGTACAGTATGAGACCTTGGACAAGTCTGAGGTAGAAAAGGTAATTCGAGGCGAGAGTCTTCCCGGACGTATCACTGCACCTAAAGGGCCAATGAGACTGCCTATTCCTCAACAAGCTCCAACACCACCAGGTCTCGGGGGTGTTCATCAGCCTCAACCCCCGGAGACACCTGCGCCGCCAGCAGCAGCAGCAGCAGACACATCTAGAACTGATGGTTGAGGTTGAAGGCTTAAAAGGCCAGTATCACGCCATGGTGGAGCAAAGATGAGGTAAAAAGGAAGCCCGGCATAGTTCACGCCACGCACGACGTATGTGGTGTTGGAAAACAGGGTGAGGATCCATATCGAACACATATTTCTACAGCGAGCATTGTGTGGAATTGGATGAATTACCTTTGCGAGTCGCGAAAGAGAACGGGGTTCGAGCGAGGACGACTGGCCTGTGTCTAGGCTTAGCGATTTATGTCCATATGGACTTTATTTTGTTCAAGCGATAGCAGCATTATGCAGGAAGTCAGGTTGAGCATAAGGGGCTGAGAAACGCCACTACTATCAGCCAGAATAGGATGAGGTGGTGGGTTGAATTTCTGGCGTGAGCCTGCACTACACTAAGCGTGTATAGATAATCCCTCTCGATCATAAGTCTCGATTGTAATAAGCTATTGTATACACTATCTATTGTTTGTTATAAGATGATGTGATGCTACTTTGACCGTGATTTGAATATCATCAAGGTACCAGAAAAGTTGGCCGCCAGAAGGATAAGAGACGAAATTAGTAGGTTAGCTTATGCTACTTAGATTATAGCTCTTAGACTATTCATTTTTAGACCCTAAGATTTTGGAGGTCAACTTTTCTGTTACCCACTAGATAGAATATATACATATAGCATACCCTCACTGTGTGTAGGAGTGGGCAAAGTGATGGTGTCCGGTAACGGAGGAAAAACAACAAAAGAGGAGGAAAGCGTGGGGGAGGGGAGGGGAGTTGCATTGCATTGCATTATTGCAACATGTCGAATCCCCCAACTTAGGTGACGAATGCGGGTCCAGCTCCCCAACTTCTATCCGAGGTATATAAGAGGCCATTGACATCAAACATTGAGACATTGTTCCTTTAATTAAGAACAACTGCGACTGATATACATTTCCTGCAACTCTCATCATGGTCAAGGTTCTCCTCACTGGTAAGTTTCCACATATAAGACACATTCAATCAACCATCTAACAATATACTCCCAGGTGGTTCGGGCTTCATCGCCGGTATGTTTAGACTACCACAGAATAAAGCCCATACATGGCACAAGATACACAGTCTAACATACTCCAGCTCATACCCTAGAGCAGCTTCTTGAGAAGGATTACAGCATCGTCACAACTGTCCGTTCAGAGGACAAAGCTCAGAAGATCCGCAACGCATTCCCTGACAAGGTCAAGGATGGCAAGTTGGAAATTGTCATTGTGCCCGATATTGCAAAGCCCGAAGCCTTTGATCAAGTGGCCAAGACTCCCGGTCTCGAGGCCGTTGTTCACGTTGCAAGCCCCTTTCACTTCAACATTAGTAAGTTGCGAAGAAACCCCGAGCAAGTTGGTGCAATGACTGACCCAAGAGCTACACAGCCGACCCCAAGAAGGACCTTATAGATCCAGCTGTCATTGGTACAACGGGTATCCTTAAGGCCCTTCATGCCTCGGCACCCAAAGTCAAGCGCGTCGTCATCACCTCATCATTCGCTGCCATCATCGACGAGGCCAAATTTACAGATGGATCCCACGTATTCTCCGAAAAGACATGGAACCCCGTCACCATTGACGATATCACTCGTTCCGACACAACTGCTTACCGCGCTTCAAAGACTCTCGCTGAACGTGCAGCCTGGGACTTTGTCGCCGAGAAGAAGCCCTCTTTCGATCTTGTGACGGTTTGCCCGCCCCTGGTTCTGGGTCCTGTATCAAAGCACCTTGCTACTTTGGAGAGCATCAACACGTCCAACGAACGTATCGTAAAGCTTTTGCAAGGCGGTTGGAAGGAAGAGATTCCTCCCTGTACCCCCGTTCCTCTCTGGATTGATGTGCGAGATGCTGCGCGTGCACACGTTCGAGGTCTTGAGGAGCCCAGAGCTGGGGGGAAGCGACTCTTCACCACGGCTGGATTATTCTCGCACCGCCAAATCGTCGACATCATTGCTAAAAAATTCCCCGAGTTCAAGGATAGGCTCCCTGGACCTGAAGTTAAGGGCGGAGAACTTCCTCCTAAGGACCGGATTTTTGGAATAGATAACAAGGAGACAAGCGAGTTGCTCAAAATTGACTGGATTACCGTTGAGAAGAGTATGACGGATCTTGTTCAGTCACTCAAGGAGATTGGCATCTAAGAAGCTTAAATAGTATTGCAAACATATTCTACAGATGAATAAAAGTAAATGTAATGATAACCATGGGATTATTAATACATATTTGTGTATCGTGAAACTCATCGTGACCCCCTCGTTGATATGTAGTCATACATACATACATGCATGCAGCATGTACTATCCAACTTATTCCAACAATCTCTCATTTTCTACATGCTTTTCAGAGCAAAGATTGACCTTATGTATCTCCGCGTTAACTCATACCCTTTTGAGGCGGATTTGTAGGAGTAGCAGGCCTGTTAGGAGGTGTTGAGGGAAGAGCTCTCGTGGGTGGCGGACCCGGGCTAGCAAGCATATTGAATGAAGCATCGCGAGATCGTGGAGGATGAGGAGGATGAGGAGGAGAAGTATCCCCGCTGATACCAAAAGGGTCTATGAGGGCAAAAGGTGGAGGGGTGATGATGCCATCGCTGATACTCGCCGAGTGGTCATTATCTCTCATGTTGCCCCCATCTGGCGCCGTCATGATTATCATAGGGACTTGATTCGCGCTGTAGATCCTAGGCGTCCTTTCATGCCGAGGTGATAGCTTCCTTCCCGTAGGTGAGAAGAGGGGAGAAGTTGGGAAAACCTCCGGCTGATCACCTGTCGTGGGAAGATATCTCCGTTCACGAAGCCGTGCTGGTGGTGTAAGCGGAACAGCTTCAGCATCAACATGAGAAACAGAAAAAGAGATAGTCGGAGAGACGAGAGGAGTTGGTGAGTCTGCTACTGGAGGTGGCGATGTGGGATGCTTGATGAGTCTCCGGATATCGTTCTTACGAGAGCGTCTCCTTCGAAGGAGGCAGAATATCAAAGCGCCAATGGCAAGGAGGCTTACGACGGAGATGATGGCGATGGTCACTTTCACGCCTAGGGGCATTCCTTTGTTGTCTTTGGTGCCATTTTGATCGCTGTTTGATGGGTCGGAAGTTACTTTAGTTGAAGGATCTCTGCTTGTGGAATAGCTTGTTTGTGGTACTGAGCTTTGTAGTGGTACTGAACTTATGGTCTCTTTAGTTGTCGGTTTCGTAGAGACTGTGTTTTCTGTCGTTGTTGTTGATTTTGTCGATGGTGGTCTTGATGCGGTTGTAGAAGATTCATATTGAGTTTTATCGGTTGAGTTGGCGTCTTGACAGTGTTTGTCATTTCCATTGAAAGACTCAGAATCGCATATGTGATAGGGTTGAGGAGGGCCTGGATCTATTACAGAGTGATAACCGATACTGCCCACATCTTAGAGTTTATTTCATATTATGTTCAGCGTGTTCTTACTCTTGACAGGCATTGATGAGCCAGTTGACATTTGCTATCAATCCGTCAGCATCATGACCAACCATGTGAATATAGGTGAGATGTCACATACGGTCTCTGCCACGCTCACCAAGGTTGTCCACGCCACAAGCCTGAGCATCGCAACAGTACAAAGCCTGGAAAGGCTGGTCCCTCTCCATACGGTCACTGTCTTGCAGAGCCTCGCACACTCGGTCGAATGTCTCATCCTCGGGCAACAGTTCCTTGAGGAATCTCTCCCTACACAATGCGATACATTGTGGCGGGTCTTGCACGTCTGGCGCAACGAAGCCCCAACTACGCCCTGTGCAGCCCGTCATGACAAGGGAGTAGGAGTAAGATCAAGTCGAGAGTATAAGAGGGTTGTCTTCTCTCACTATGGGCATGCATGACATGCTATGCTCTCGGCTTGGAGAAGAAATGGCGAATAATTGATGAGGGAAAGGTCTCAGCTGAGAACCAACGGCAACTCGAGACGAGACGAGACGAAAAGGAAAGAGAAAGGGGAAGGGGAAGGAAAAGAAGCGAAAGCTAACGGGAACGGGGATGAAAATAAACAGAAATTGGCAGAGAGGACAAACCGGAACGAAGAGCGAGAAAGGGGGCGGAGGGGAAGAAGAATGATCACTATAACAACCTAGGTATGACTACCATTCGCACTTTCACTTATACACACTCAGCTATACTTTGTTGGATCCATACCCAATGACGATTAGAATATCTTTGGAAGCACAACCCCGGTGATAGTCCAGTTGGTACAGCACAGGACCGGTAGCATGGACAAGATCAGGCTGGTGCGTCCGTCCGTCCGTCAAACTGCAATTCCAATGCAGTCGATCCCAGTCCATATAGGGAGGCAAGTTTGTTCGCTAGTTACACGACGTATGCTGTACTGTAGTCACCCGCGTCCGACGAGAATAACCTCGTATGTTATTGGTATATATGTATTTCCCTTTCTACTCCAAAGCCCTGTTTGCTTGCTTCCAAGCCCTGCGTAGACCTGAGGAGGCTTGCATGATGGAGGAGGCGGAGAATTAACCTCGTGAGGACCATCACCTTTTTTTTCGAGGCCTTCTGTCTTGTTTGTCATGGTTGTTCTTCAACGGCAACTAGTTTGTTCTCTTTTAGGTGTGGCTGCCACGATGGAAACGAAGAGGACACCGGAAACTCTGGATGCCGGCGTATGTATGACATTGTTGATGAGACCAGTAGAAATAACTAAAGGGCAAGCTGAGCCGGGAGACAGGGACAGGAACAGAGACAAAGACATGTTCAGCTGCGTTGCATGCGATACACCAAGTCACATAAACGGTCACTGTTTGGCAGGCCAAGCGAGTGATTTAGCCAGGATCTTGCATTCTGATAACCAATTACAATCATTTTTTCGCGAGTATCTATGTATTATATTGTATCGATGACTCTCGACATGACTCTCCAAGATATCGACAATTGTTGTCTTGATCAGCTTAGCTGTATAGAGACTCTACGTACTTATTTATTCATTTATACCTATTCATAATATTGACTTGTTGTATCTGTCAACACTTGAACTTGACTGTTTTGTGCGTTAGTCTGTTGGTTACACACAAGTACTTTGCCATGCTTTTCTCCCCTGTTGCACGTTTCCCGTTCAAATTACATATCCCCATCTGAATTAAATACGCGCGTCATGCGCTGCAGATTTCCATTCTTTGCCTTGAGGAGTTTGTTGGTAGTTGATCATGTCACGTCATCATAAATCGGTATCTTGCAGCACTAAGTGGTAGTTTTCATAACTCAATTAGCTGACACCACCACAATCAGAGACATATGTTCTACTTTTGCATAACAATTGTTCCAAAATATGCACCTCAACTTTGCGGTGAAGACGAGACATAAATGATTGCCTACAGCTATGAATAGTCAGTCAGTTATCCAAATCTTGTTTCGCCAGTGACAACTCAAGTGCATGGACAAAAAGTGCACATCCAACACTAAGATCGGGCTCGGAGCTGAGCTGAGGCTGAATGTGACTCGGCACAACGCATTAGATTCAAAGTAGACTTTTTCAGTCCCTTCTCTTCTCTTCCCTCTGTTCCCGATTACCTGTGCAACAGAACCTCTACAAGCAAGACATTCTCCGTCACCCACACAAGGCATGAACGCCATCAAACCTCTCACCGCAGAAAAGCGAGGACGTGCAAACTCACGTAGGAAAGCGTACCTCGAGACCGAGTCTGAGTCTGAGGCAAAAAGATTTACCCTAAATAGAAACCTCTCTTCCTTCGGGGGCTGAGAGAGTACACGATTGGACGGATAGACTGTCTATGTACTTGCACAACCTCGTATTTAGATTACCTTCTCCTGAAGAGCTGATGGGAGCCCTCTTATGCATCCAGCGAACCGTTGATGTTCTACGTAAAGAGCCGGCATGAACAACTCAACTCAACCATCCCAACGGGCCTCGTAGACGTCATAAGTATAGAGTTTCCCTTCTGCTGGGTCATATCCCGTATATTTGATCATCGTGACGGGGGAAGGCCATTCTCGTTCAATTCATCCATTGGATTACACAAGTCGAGATTGCTCCAAGCCCCTCTGTTTTGATCTCCTGCTTGGTGACTGCAGCTTCCCCAAGATAGCGGATTACACACTCGAGTATATTTCCGCAACAGGAACCATCTCCTTGAGGACGTGCGACATGATAGTCAAAGGACCGATAATTGTTCTGTACAGTCTCAAACTATAGTGAACTGTGTAGTTGGTTGGCCCAGCCTCGTTCCGACTACAACAAAATATAATAAAAAGTACCATCCTCAATCAAAATTAGTCATGAAACTCGCAAAAAATGACAAAAAATTAATGGATTGCCGTCAGCAAGACTCGAACTTGCGTTTTCAGTGCTTCGAAGAGCCACAAACTGATGTACTGACCCCTATACGATGACGGCTTAATGGGTTTTGATGGAGAACAAGTATTCAAACTTAGTATATGTATCTATGCCCATAATGTCCCACCAAATCTTGATCCAATTCATTACTTCTCATCAGGGTACCAAAAAAAGTTGGCCGCTAGAGGCACAAGACATGAAATCAGCGAGTTAGTTTATGCTACTTAGGCACTGCTCTTTGTTCACTTATTAAGCTTAAAGGCCGACGTCTCTACCACCAACCATGTTTTACGAGTCACGGCTTGCAAGTCACCAAGAGATAATGCAATTGCTTCCAGAGCATTAGGATTAACGTTGAAGAAAAAGGAAACGCTGTCTAGCTCATACAAAATCACTGAAAATTATCAACTGCCTGCCTGTACCGGGTATAATCACGCAACCTCTGACCTCAAACTCCGTCCCCCGCGAGGTCTAGTACCTACTAGATCCGTCCCTTTCATCCCTTGCCTTCTCCGCCCAAGTATGATTGGGGAAGACAATGCAGAAAACAACAAGCAAAATACAAAGAAAACAGCGCGAAATCATTCTAGTGTATGCGTATGCAGAGGTGATCCTTTTCTGTATGTCTTGATTAAAGAGTGGTTTGTTCATTCCAGCGTCCAAAACACTCCGTAGTAGTGTTGTGTTTATCGAATGCGTTGTGTTGGTGTTAGAAGAATGACGGCTTTGTAAGCACGCGATATTCGACGTAATCCTCGCCGTCAATGTTAATAATGGTTCCCTGCGAGACCAGTTTCCCTGTGAAGGGGCCATTGGCCTTGCGCTCGTACTTGACTCCCCCATACATCTTGGCGTCGTCGGTACTTGCTCTCGAGAATCGCAAACTTTCCTGGCTGGCCCAAACCTTGTTGAGGCGCTGCATCTCATGGCTTTCATGGAACTGCTGTCGGCCGTTGGTGGCCACGCCAGGGATCTTAGCGGCCGCAGCCGCGGTTGCTTGGGCGGCGGCTGCTGCTGCTCGCTCGCGGTTGGCAGCCTGCAGGTGAGCACGCTCTTGAGCCTGTTCCACACGGGTGATCTCACGCTCGGCCAGAGCTGAGGTCCGCTCGAGCGCATTGGTGCTTTGCTGTGTTCTGCCTGTGATGGGACGAGTCGCTGTGGTCGACTTGGTGGCTTCCATGTCGATGGGTGCTTGGCGTGTTAAACGTCCTTCAGCTCTGGCTGCTTCCATGCGGCGACTTTGGCGAAGCTCCTGGCGAATCTCGTTGCCTGTCAAGCTTAATTTTGGTGACTGGTCCTGTTCTTCTCCAAACTCTCCAGGAAGACGAGGCAGAGCGGGAGCGATTGACAAGGGGGCAGGAGTCTTGTAGTTGGTGCCTGCAGCCCTGGCTTGTGCGTCGAATACAGCTTTGATCTCGTTTTGTGGTCTTTCCTCGAATGTCTCTCCGCGATCAAGCTGCCATTGACGTACACGACAGTACTCTTTGATTTCATGTCGAGCAAGAGGTGTCAAGTGTTTTTCGAAATCAACATCCTCGTAAGGAATCCAAAGAGCGCCTGCTCCAGCAGGAAAATTGCCATCGACAAACCGTCCGTCGCGCGTTTCTCGTACTAGCTTAACTCTAAACATATCATTTTGCCCCAAAATACCGTACACCGCATGACGATCCTTAGGGTTGGGCTCTGCAGACTTGGCCCATGTACCAAGAAGAATTCGGGTCGGTCTAGTACCAGGTAGCGGGTCAACAACGTTTCGTACAGGTTGCGGTCCGCCGGGTGCTGGTTGAATAGGAGTATGCTCAACCACGGGACCATTTGATGACGCAGCATTGATAGGTGCAAAGCCTCCGCTGGTCCTGCGCCTCTTTGCATCGCGATTGCTCTGCAAATGCTCGGGAAGCTCGACGCCATAAGCAATCTGGGTTGAGTTGGAGTTGTTCTCGGTAGTCGGAATCAGCTTGGCACGACGAATAGCTTCCTTGACATCTTCCAACTCGCCAGCACTGTGTTCGGACTGGTTCTTTTCGGTGGGTATATTCTTGGTGCGTAGCCTGACATACTCCTTGATTTGAAGCTGATCTAGACCCACGAGGTGGTCGAGGAAGACAACCCTCTCAAATGTCACCCAACTTCCACCAGGTCCGGGAGGGAGTGAATATTCGGTTACAGCGTCTCCAGTTCTTGTTACGGTCTGTATCCGTGTACGTAGACGCTCTCGGACATCTATAAAGCCAACGACACCATGTTTGAGATCTTCTGTAGGAGCATCTGAATCCCGCCAGTAGCCGACTGGTACTCCTTTGATGTTTCCTGTGCTTGAGCGAGAAGGTTTAGCTCTTGTGCTGACTGTAGAGGTTTGACGATCATCCGCAATGATTTTACTTTCACTCAGGTCGTTGAAGATAGACGTCCGCTTCCGCTTGGGGTAATGGGAAATAACAGGCTCTTCGTCGCCATTGGTCATGGTCTCATCTTCGGCATCAGATGCAGGCCGCGGAGGCGATGACTTTTGGGTACCGTTAGTGCGAGCCCCCACGATAATCTCGTCCTCGAATTCATTAAAGTCGGCCCCTGAAGGGGAGTGCACGGTGCTTGCTGGATCGCTAAGCTCGCTTTCGACGTCCCCATCTCCAATCGAGACCTTACGGCCGTTCGAGTGTCTGCAAAGGTATGTTAGCTGTCGTTGTAACTATCAATGTGACTAAGCCATGAAGTAATAGAAGGCTTGCATCGGAGAAAATGACAATGGGCAAGAAGCATCAGTTTAGAGCAAATGTCTTGAAACAAGAGAAGTTGTCAGGACTAGACCAGGACAACAATCCAAAAGGATGATGCAGTCCAAGGCCATTCTGAGCAGGGATTAAAATATAGTAGCCAGTCCGAGTCTTCAGGGTATCCGAAGAATTGGCCGCTGGAAGCACAAGGGACGAAATTAGTAGGACAACTTATGCTACTTGGGTCAGACTTCCTGGGCTCTTTGTTTTTGTGCCCTAAGAATTAGGACCAACTTTTCTGCTAGCCACTAGCGAATGCAATAAACATGGAGGCTTGGCAGGGGCCAAGATATGAGACAAAATGAGAATGAGTTACCTAAGAACTCTTAGAGAACGCATATTTGAATGGCAGAGGCGTGCTGTGTTGTACGACTGTAACAGGTCCACTTCTGAGGGGTGTATAAAGCAGTTGACACACACACGGAAATCCTTTCTCGTCGATTTGGTGTAGAGAGTACCAGGCAGTTTTGGGAACTCGACAAGAACGGTTGTGAAATGACGACGTGAAGAAATGCATGCATATAGCAAGTGGGCAGGAAGCAGTTTGTGAGATAAGATGAAAGTATGATGAAGGGAGGAAGAAGACAAGAGAAGAAGAGAAAGGTGAAGAAATCGCTACTGCCAATTATCATTGAATGAATGGATGAATACCTAGGCAGGCAATAAAAGTTGCAGTGTAGCGCAGGTGTAGATACGGCCGCAACTGCAGTGAAAATGGCACTGACGATAGAAGTGACTGCGATTCAGCTATTCATGTGGGCAACAATTGCTTGACAGTGCCAGTGCCAGTGTAGTTTGAAATCAAATTTTGTCCGCTTAATTTGCAGGCGCTGATTGATAGTGATCGTCTCATTGAGGGAGCGATGATGAGATACAGATACAGTCAGGCCAGATGCGGTCAACAACAACAACAACAACACAAAATAAGACGGCGGCAGAGACCTCCCCAGAAGGTGTTGACAAACCAGGCAATGCCAGCCAACTTTGGGTTGTAATCCTTGTCAAAGCCACGCCACTCATTCATTTATTATTCGCACAATCACTTGACTGGTTGAGAACACGAATACATCATGGCGAAGCTATTGAGCACGACGAGATTGCGTCGATGAGGTATTGAATAAGAAAAAACGAGGTAAATGGGAAATGAAATCATAATTTAACTTGCCTTGGGGATGGACTTCTGACAGCGACAGCGACAGCGGCGGCGGCGACGGTAGGAGGACTTGCGGCGGCAATTACTGGTGATTTTCCATTCACAGTACTTGTCGAGGGCACAGATGGTGATGGTGCGTGGTCCTTGATAACCGAAGCTGAATCCGATGCTGTTGCTGCTGCCGCTACTGCTGATGATGATTGCAGTGGTGACTGCGGCATGGTTGGCGTTGCGGCTCGGGGTTCAGATGCCGAGGGAGCAGCAGGAGGATCAGTCGCAATTGCAATCGCACTATCAGGAGCTGCTGGACTCTTTATCTCAACAGCAATAGCACGGGTGGAAGTAGAATCTGGAGTTGGTGCATGATTTGGTGATGCAGCCCTCGAAGTAGAAGGTTTGGGAGCAACAGCCGATGAGAGTGCTGGCGATATGGGCTCCAGCTCTGGTGGCGCAATCGGCCTAGGCTTGTCGTTGTCGACAGTTTCCATGACGCGACTTGAATAATACCTGAGCTACTGATGCTGGAACGCGAAATAAGTCTTGTCAGGCTAGTCGAGTTTAGCTGATGAAGACGAAGATGAGTAGTAGGTAGACTCTGATAGTTGGGGAGGAAGAAAAAAAATGTATGGCGCGTTTCCGATTAGGTAGGTAGGTAGGTAGGTAGCAGGCAGTTGAGGTAAAGTAAGGCAGGTAGAGTACTAGAACAAAAAAAAGTTGCGCGTAGATTGTCGGTCGCAAGTTCCCAGTTGATGAATTATTATCCCGTCGTCTTTTAGTCAATTAGTGCTACTGCGCAGCACTGCAACTTACTCAGTACTGTATGTAGTTATGTACCTGGTCAAAGGCAGACAGGGTCGACAAGGTGGGAAGACCAAGGTGAAGTGAAGTAGCAGTATGGCCACCTTTTTGGTCAACTTCGTAATACCAAACGCAGGGAAATAGTCATAAATAAGATCAGACCAAGTAGGTAGGTCAGATCAGGTAATAAGTTCAAAGTGGATGGTCGGTACAAAACCAGGAATGGGAGTAGTCAAAGCCTAACACCCTGGTTGGTTGAACATATGAATTCTGGAATCTTAAGCCGGGGGAGAACCAGGGCTAAAATCAATAAGCGCAATTCGTCAACTTGGCAAGATAGAGGGATACAGTTGATAAGTAAGGGGAGAGAAGAGGATAGCACAGTACAGTATTAGACACGTAGTCTAGTTGCGCATTTAATGAGGTTAGACAACTTTATAAACCCCCTCACTCAGCCGAAATAAAAGTCAAAGAGCAAAACCACCAACAAAAAAAATAGTCTGAAGACAACGAGTGATAGGAAAGGAAAGAAAAGGGTTAAAGTACCTCGAAAGAGCAATAGGATAGGATACTAGGGTGGGATGGGATGGGGCTTGTGGGGGCATGTGAAAAGCTAACTAAGGCAAAAGTCAACTACGATGTAGTAATTGCAATTAATTGCCAGGGAATATGACAGAGAAAAATAAGAGATTGGATTGTGTGAGTCGAGGAAACAATGAGCTTGGAGAAACACATTGGATTGGATGTAATAGCCAACAACAAAAAATGAAGACTTATGACACAAATGCATATGCTCAATGTATAGGTACCTCGGAGTATAAGCATTAATGACACCAGTACTGAGTGTTTTAGTTACCAAGGGAGATCAATTACTGAGAGATTGCCTATGTCACTTTCTCGCCCGCTGCTATTAAGTAACTCTCCTGTAAATTTCCATCCTTCATTGGATGTTGTAATGATAGAGATTTGCAGAGTCAACCTGGCCTATCCTAATTGGCTCATGTCACTTATTAACCTCGATTCAATAATTAAGCTCAGCCGTATTCTTCAATTGATGAGCTTCCACCAAGAATGCCGCTTTTTGTTTAGTTACTAATAATGTTGATTCACGTTTCCTGACAACTAGTTATCCTTCTCAGTTTCCCCTTTCCTGCTGTTAACGTTGTGAGTAATGGTCAGTTATGGAACATCCCATGTAGTTCTGAGTACACTCCCTGACAGCTCTATACACACCCCTATAGGTCTACCGTTCCCTTTTATCCTCCCACGGGAAACCCTCAGATAAGGTGTTGTCAAGGTGCATACTCGATGCAACTCGATATGCCGGTACAGCTCTAAAACAGTGATAAATCCTTGCCACGCTGTCGTTTTATTTGTTTTTTCCCTTCTCCTTGTCGCGTCCCCTCTAAATTGAGTCTTTTCTGACTCCAAAACTCCCCTCACACTCACCATCGACTTGTGCATCAGACTAACTAACTTGGTTGTCAACTCGACCGACACCGCCTTGGTAACTTGATTACGGTGATCAACGCAAGGTGAGAAAGGCGGGACATTATTCCAAATTAAGAAGTCGTGACACAATCTGCTCGTTCTTCTGCCACTCAGTTCTCTGCAATCGCTTAACTTTGATTCACCTTTCTTGTCATTGACTGATTGACTGATTGACTGATTGACTGATTGACTGATTGACTGATTGACTGATCGCCTCAAGCGCAACACCGCCTCTTAGCAGCAGCGCCAAGAACATATTGGGCTTGATAGCGACGATGATGCCACTATGGACGGATCAATTCAATAGTCACAAGCCTCAATCCAGTTGATCCCCCTCTGCGTATAATCACCAATCTTTCTCTTTTCCTTCACTGTCCGGTCTGACTACAAGCACGTGGATTCCGGTGATACAAGGAACCGCTCTCAATTCGGTACTTGTTAAACTGAAACGTTGAGCTGTGGCTATACTGAAAGTCAACGCATTGATCCAAGAACTCTGATGCTCTTCTGTTACAATGCCGGAAAAGTATGGCACGCCAACACAGAAATTACATACGATACTTGTGATTATGATGACATATTCCTCATTCTGCAACCAATCACATATCGGTTCCGTCTTCCAGTTGTCTTGAGTGACCAATCAAAGCCGTTCGTCTTTTCGAAGGGAAAAACTGCAATCTCGTTCGCAACCTCATGGTTCCAAAATAACCATCCCATCCCGTGCTTAAACGCACGCCCTATCTAAACACAAATACATGCACACCCTCAATTCCCTTCTCCTTCCGGAATTGCTATTCACCTCGAGCTTTAGCTTTTTGCTCAGGGCTTTAACTTTTGTATATCGTATACTATTTACTGTTCTTTGCATAGTGGGCTTTCCCCGAACTTGAACTACTGAACTCAGTAACCATGTAGTTGGCAGCGACAACTCTGAGAATACGCACAATTCCTCATATCAAACTCATTTCACCGCGAAAATGCCGAGACTGAAACTAGGAAAACGCTACTATCAATACTCAAAACTCATGCGTTGACAACGTAGCTTGGTTCGATCAACAATGCAGTGCATATTATGCCCAGGGCTAAAAACGGATAAATAACTCCATGTCGCTAGAGCGCCCGCTCCTGTATCTTGTTTCTATCGACTCACCCGATGTTAAACGATCGAGTAGATTGTTGTCAGCGCCATATCGGGAGGTCACCGCAACAATGAACCAAGTCATCTATCCCACAAGCGCTTACAGGAGAGATTGAATACCAATAGGCCCTGATCAGACACTTTACGAACAGTATACCATCCTCTCTTCAATGACATTCTCCAGGTAACAATCTGCTGATCAAGACTCAACTCAACTGTTTGCAACAATAACCCTGCATAAAGAGTCAAAATGAATTACATGACTCGGTTATCATCAGATTCAGCCATCAAAGTTCCCATGTCCATTAACTTATTCATAACCCTGACGCCAACTGACTTTGAGTCCCCACGATCGGCCCATCTTTTTTGTACCGACAGTTGAATAATCCCTGCTCAAATTATAATTAAAGAAATTTTCTCAGGTTTTGAGAGTGCAGCCGACATAACCCGCTGTGACGTTAGCTCTAAGGTATTCGTTGAGCTACCATCTCTTCTAGCCATGTACGTATTGCAAATCGTCAACTCATATTATCGTGAGCAGTTTAGTCTAGACAACTCGTAGATATGCCAGTTGCTATCTTACATTGATTGTCATCATTACGCTTGTCTGAGTTTCAGAATACCCGTGTGATGTGGTGTGAAATGCTCCTATCTAACGATTGACTTGCGTTGAGTTGTGAACCTGCAAGAAAGCGTGTCTCGGAATAACTGTCCGCAACTCGCCTATTGACAGAACAAACATGCAAACTCTCAGTCGCAGGAGCAAAATTGATGGAATTATTTCCCCTGAAGTATTTGTGGCCCGAATGTTGGATTGTATCAACTGCATCCGGCTGAATTGTGTTGGTTGTCTTGTTTGTGGAACATGTCCCGGGTAGCACATAGTTGCGACTGGTTGGACTCGAAACATGTGAACCATTCGGTATTCACCGGTGACTTTTGCCTCGTTAGTGTAGAAAACAGTGTAACCCAATATTCAGACTACACGTTGCCAGTGAGTCTTTTTGGGCAGTAGTTTTTGAATGAAGCCCTGCTATACCCGATCACAGCTTTCATTGCAATGGTGAGGTACTACGGTACTGGATTGCTGGAACATTCTTCTTGGTATCGTGGTGCAGGACAATGGTTAAAGATAGCTACCTATGTAGTTTGCCGACGCAGCAAACTTTGTAAGCCAACCAGACCACTGTGACTATACCTCAACATCAAACACAACACACGTCAGCGCAACTGCATGATCCACTTCCCCGGAAACACACATATAATATACTCAAACATCTGCTGACGTCAATCATCATTCATACTATAGTACAGAGTATTGATTCCCGCATCGTCTATCTGACACATCATCGTCCTCGTCCGCGACCACGACCTCTGCCCCTACCTCGTCCCCTGCCTCCACCACGGCCCGTTTTCTTGCCGCCCCTCTGCCCGCCCCTATTGTCAAACCTCTCAAACAGTCTCTCCTCTCCAAACGCTCCCTCACCAAATCTCATAAAGTTCACAAGACCGCGATCCACAATCGCAACCAGGACGTTGCGGTGACCGTGCTTTAATCGCTGGTACATTCGGCCAGGACCCCCCCAGCTCTCGTTGGGTGGATCGTGAGGTGTTGATTCTAGAAGCGCCTCGATCTCCTCGAGTGTAGGTACACATGTGTCGCCGGCATCGACAACTGCGATGCGGAAGTTGGGCGGCGGGGGGGTCTTCTTGGAGAAGGGAGGGCCGCCTGATTTCCATACGTGGAAGAAGACTCTGTACGGATCCTCAGGAGGATGGACCACGGGAGGTGAAGGTAGTGGCTTGTGCCTGGGGAGTAGTGCAAGCTGGTCGTAGATAGGCCTGTACGCGCGATATAGTCCTGGCTGAACAAGAGGTCCAGACGCAATTCGTTTTGTTGTCTGTGTCTCTGAGCCGAAGAAAGAAAACATCCATTGCCATAGCGTCTTGGACTGAGGTGTTGGTGTGTGTGCTTCATAAGGGGGCGCGCGAAGAACGTAGAAGCCTGCGCGCTTCAGGTGCGAGTAGACCTGATATTGAGGCAAGGTGAGTTTGCCTCTTTCGTCTTCGTTGCCGATAAAAAGTGAGTATGCTGCTTCGAGACTCAGAGGAAGCCCGACATCGTAGTCATCAGGTCCCATGCCTGGCTTGATTTTACCATCGGCATTAGGGAGGATGTCTTCCAACTGTCGATTGGGCCACCACAGATCCATGGTCCCCCTTTCAACAAGATAAATGGCCTCTTCCGGTAACAACCAAAGTCGCCCCGTACCCAGACGCTCAATCTTGCCTGGTATCGCTCTTCCGATGTCCTTCTGCCAAGTGCCGCGCTCATGCTCAATCATGACAACTCTGTCGCGCAGCCAGAGCCCCTCTTTCTCACCAGCTTGCTCCATCTCAGCCCACCAGTCCGGGAAACACCACCCTCGAACCCAAGCATCTTCGCGATGGATCCTCGTGTAACCAAGCACATTATCCATGACCTGACGACTCGCCTCGAGAAGACCATCCTGCGCACGGGTGCCATGCGACTCAAAATCCTTCTCGCCCTTGCGAATAGCTTTACTTGAGACGCCATGTTTATCGAACATGGACAGGAACAGCTTGTAGTCGGGGGCGTCCTCGTCGGCATCTTCTGTCGCAGCTCCGTTGGCACCCCCAGCTGGTTGTGCTAAGGCATGGGGATTATCGTCGTCGTCAAAAGCCATTATTGAAAATTTTGGGTATCGCGAATTTCGTGGAATTCAAACTGTGCTATTTCGGCTTGGTTTATTCTGTACGGCGGCTGGGACAGCTGGGCATTTTCGAGGTTATTGGCGAGAATTGATGTTGAAAGATAATTTTATTAGAGTTGCCTGTGAAGCTTTGAGCTTGATATTTCTTACCCCGCAGTGGGAAGGTGAATAGATATCAAAATTGGACTAACATCCTCAACAACGAATCAACATCGCTAACTTGGCCGAGTGGTTAAGGCGCTGTGTTTAGGTTCTCATCAGAAACCAAACCCGCAGTGGGAAACCGCGGAGGTTCGAACCCTCCAGTTAGCATAAAGCGATTCAATTCATCTTTTTGACCACTTTTTAACCTACCGTCTGTCCGAGGTTTCTTTGTCTTACATTTGAGATTGGCTTCTCGGTAGATTTTTTTTTTTTGTTTTGCCTGGGAAGACATCTATCCAGAAATTGCTGCCACCCATAATCATAAACGTTTCTTACCAATACCTAAGAAATTGATCAATAGCTCATCAATATATTTCTCTCTTTCTTTCATCACAACACTACATGTTGAACATATCGATCATGCACTTGCCTACTGCCTGTGCCCCTTCCTTTACCTTACCTCCGGAACGCCGTGAACTATGCCCGTTATTACAAAAGCCCTATCCTGTCTTCGCCGTCTCCCAAAATGCAAACACCCCTGGGTATACTTCAACTAGAGGGGTAACTTCGAGCGATTCAGTTCCATTCTCTTCAGGCCCATGCACCTTCACAATGTGACCAAATCGTATTCCGGAGTACTCTCACGCTACATCCTGGTACGGGAGTTTCTCCCGACGCGGCTTCGGGAGCAGCACGTATTACCGTAGAATGAGCGCGGCGCAATGATGACAAAAAGTTGCTTGGAAACCACATCTAGATCTTTCTGCTCGTCACTCAATGAATGGTTTTTTCTGCCCTCCCACCATACAGAGCCCTAATGCTCGTAGCGAATCGCGGTCGTTAGCGAGGATAACAGTCGGCGCCGGGAGCATTGGGTTGTTGGGGTCGACATGGGAGGCGTCTTTTGCGGCTTGTTCAATGGCATCCATTTCCTCCTTACAGGCTTGTTGATCGAGTGGACAGATAACAATTGGCTGGCGTATCGTGACATCTCGAGCACCACTTAGATTAACCTGGAGACGTTAGCGCAAATGACACGCAGCGATGGTGTGAGTCGTACCTTGATAACCAAGTAAAATTCGATTTTGTAGAGCGTCGAAGTCGTAGTAAAAGACGTAACTTCATAAAGAGGGAATTGAGGTTTGCCTCGCTTAACAACGCCATCCGGATCCCGTAAATCTTTAGAAGGGAACACCAGTCCAACGTTGGTAGCGTATCCGGCCTCTGGCATTTTCGTCTTAACCACTTGCACTTGTCTTGAGATCTTGTTGATCTTCTTTGAGGGCTCATCGCCTTCGGGATTATATGTGATTTCCTCCTCAACAGTCAAAGTGATCTTGTCAATTGTCACGCGCTTGGCTTTACTTAGCCAGTCAAGGTTGGGCGATAATTTGATATATACTGTAATAGGGTCGCTGGGCCCGTAGCTCCATCGTGGTAGGTTGATGCCGAGGTGTACGATATTGTCGTTGGTGACAAGCTTGGATTCGGGCTTGTTGTACATGCCGAATGTTGAAAGGGTATCATAGCGTTGTAACGGTATCGGGAAAGTATATTTGTACTGATTGCTGTGACCTTGTTGGACCGTGACGACGAGCTCGTAGTATGTTTCGGCGGTTCGACTAGGTAGCTGAAGGGACGCAGGGGGAATCCGTCGATTCGACTCCTCGCCACCACGGCCATAAGGTATAAAGAGAACGAAGGGCAAATCCATAGCGATAATTCTCTCGGCCTCTTTTCCAGAAGAACATCGAAAGAGGAGCTGCTCCTTGCCGACCAGGTCCGTCGTTTCGCGGCGAGGAGCGCCTAAATGTCGTTTCGCAATGCTGTCGGCATCAGGATGTATCGTTTCTCGGCGCTGTAGACATATTCGGACGAGAGAGACGGGTACGGGCATAGAAAAGCCCTGGCCAGGACGTATTTCGACTTTCCCTTCGATGCGCGGCTATAAAAACCCGTAATGTCAGCATAATGGAGTTGGGCGCACTGAAGGTAAGTGAGGCGTAAGCAAAGAAGAGCTGAGATTGACGCACCAGAGTCGCTGAAATACCAGGATAGCCCACGAGAAAGCTACTATTTGGGGGCCCCGAGACCCTCACACTCGCAGGAGCTGCCATGATTGTGCTTTTACTTTGCGAAGTACTATAGAGCCGAGCGTCCTGATTGAGGTACAGTGCAGTCGGTACCTAGAGCGATGGTGTCGAGTGGGGGAGATGACGGCGATGAAGTGGGAGCGGCAACGGAGGGGGCGGCTGGCTGAGCCCCAAAGGCGACGAAAGCGTCGGGCTACGCCAGAGCCGGGGTTCGTAGAGCGTTTTTGATGCCAGAATTGCACGCAAATGTCGAGAAATGGGCGATGTAGTGGTGTTCATGAATCCAAGCGTTGTTGACAGTAGTGTATTGCAATCGGGTGTAGTGTAGGTGGTTATGATGGGGGAAAGCTTAGGTATGGGGACGAGCCCAGAGCAGCGAAATACGGCGGCGGGTGTTCGTGTTAGGCCCTGTCCTAGGCTCCAGCTCCCACTAAAGCACGGGTATCCGTGTTGCTCTAGTTGCCCTGCAGCTACACTATTCCCAGCGTGCGGGTTGTTTTTGGAGCAGTGCGTCGACGTTGCCAAGACAGTGGGGGCTAGTGACAGTGTTTTGGTTGATAATTCAAGTGCGCAAATAGATATGGATAAATGCGATGCGTTGGAGAGTCAAGTTTCAAAGACGTTGCGCTGTCGAGAATGGCGAAACCATGACCATGATGACGTTCGAAATGAAAGAGGGGTTAAAGTAGGTACAGATTGAGTCTGACCAGACAGCCGGAAGAAGCAGGCCGGTTAATTAAAAGTGCAAAGGATTTCGCATGTAGCTGAAAAACAGATGGATGAGGCTGGCCCAAAAGAATAGTAGAGCAGACAAGAGTAAGTAGGTCACTGGGATGGCGGCTGAATGGAAGGAAGGGATAGGATGGGATGGAGGCTCACTCTAATGGAGTACAGAGTGGAGTTTATGCAGGTAATGGAAGGGAAGGGAAGGGAAGAAGCTGAAGCTGTGGAGGATTGCAACGCAACACTCACTTAAACGAGACCTATAATAAAGCAAGACAGGATCATGTAAATGGGCCAACAGCAAGTGTGTTTTTTCGTTTGCAATTTAGTATTGACTTGTATCGTTCATTAAACCCTTAACAATTTTTGCAGTGTGTAGTGTAATCACTACTGGTTACTACTAAGCTAGGATCAGGGTCCTGTCAGCATCCAAAAGCGCTTCTATCAAATCAGAATGTTTCCGAAGTCCCATCTCATGTGTGTGGTAAGGCAGCTTTGAAAGCCCTGAGGCTGACTGCAGTCAATAGTAAGTACTAGGCCAAAAAAATATTGCTGCTACTATTAGCAGGCCGAAAACGGGGTATTTGTTCTGTTCTTTACAAATGTTACTCGATTTCATGGTATGACAAATAAGGTTAATTATGGCTGGCCAATACTGGCTCATGTTCCTCTTGAGCTGCACCGTGGTTGCTATGGCACCAACTTATTATGCGGTCATCAAATGTCATTGGATCCCCAGATCCATGTGATCGGTCATTCATTACCTTGTGTGTAACCAGGTACCTAACAAGCCCTGTTTTCACTACTTACGTATGGGTGTCTTGCGGATGTATCTTGCCGAGATACATGTGATTGGTATATCACAAAGGACGACCTTTCACCAAACTTCTATTAAACAAGGCTTGGAATAATGTGTCAAAGCAAGTGCTTCAACTCCTGCCAAGCATTGACTTTCCCATTCAGATCGTGGCTACCGGGAATAAACACTGTTATCCCCGTTGTCGTAGATCTAGATCGGCAGGTAGCCACTTGTGGCTGGACCCTGTAGCCTGTCATGTCTACCTCTTGATCCCCAAAGACTCATAATTCAAGGTGACTGGGAGTATAAACTGACATTTCTCATACTGAAATGACTATTGAATCATTTAGTTCTCGCACTATCTTTATCAAGACACAAATTCACTACCAATGCAATCTAATCTTATATATGACGATTACTTCTTCGTTCTCTTTCTCTGTGTTTGTGCATTCGTCGATGAGTCAGTTCGAATCTTCCTTTTAGGATTCTTCCGAAGCACTGTTTCTTCCGGATCTTCGCCTATCTTCATCAACACTCGTCTTTTACCCCCTGCATCATCAATAATCAAGACGCTGGCCCTTGAGTCTGCTGCAGAGTCTGTATCGAGAAGTTTCAGCCCATCCATTTGGTGATCAAAGGCGACTGTTGGACGATCCAAGTGGGAAACTTCTTTCGGACGTTGCACGCCTTTGGGCTTTAGATGCCGCTCCCACCGTTGCTGTCCTGGCATGCGGTCTGCCCCAAGAACGTCTCGTCGGTCTTCACCGAACCAAAAATGCGGTTGCCCAGGAGCTCCAGCAAAGTAACAAACCTGAAACGGGAGCATACCTGATAGCCGTGATTCCTGAGACCCTTTATACCGTTTCGCCATTGCTTCCTCCGAGACGTCCTCGCCATTCTCCAAAGCCTCTTCATACCACTCTGACAGCGGCTCACTCTCATCTGGCGTAGATTTGACCAGGACCATGACCGGTGCGATACCGCCCAGCTCCCGACGTTCATTGGGGAAGATGGGGTCGTCCCCTACAAGTGACTCTCCATTGTACCGGCAGACGTCGACGCGCATCTCATAAACTCTAGCCACTGCAGTTGAACTTTCCGCAGTAGAAATAGAGATGTGCGTCTGTGCTGGATATGTCCTTCGGTCGATACCGATATACTTCAGATCGGTATCATGCAGAGAGGGATGTGTGGCCCCACTGTCAAGCAACATCTTGAAGCACACGCGGGGTGCTGTGTCATCATTGTCATCCTCGACAAAACAGGGGCCCCTCTCGTTCGACCCAATCTCTCTGAGTTTCGTCTGATACAACAAGACCTTTCCATTCTTTGAACGGCCAGGTTTGCCCAGCCTTTGGGTGAAGCGGCCATGGAAGCCCTTTACGCGTTTAAAGCCCATCGATATTTCCCAGTTGTAGGGCTTGTATCCTGTCAACAATCCCGAGTCGTCAGAAGACTGTGCCCAAGTGGCAGCCATGAGTTGTTCAGTCTGGTGGTTCCCTTTCGGAGCGAGGGGAGGCTCATACCACAGCCAGCCTTCGCCGTATTGACTATGATATCGGTCAAGTCTCTCTTCTCGATCCAAGGTGAACGACTCATATGAGGGACAGAAATCTGCCAACTGTCCAGCATAAATGAGAGTCCACCTGTCCCAACACTTGATTTGCCCGGTTTGATAAGCTTTTATTGCCGCACGGATGTTAGTGTCACTGGCTGGACACTCATGACGCTCCAGTGATGCTGTGAGAAGGTCTATTCTTTTACGGATGCGATACCGTTTGGTAGATTCGAGCTCGTCACTGGTAAAGTCAGTTCATTTTTCTGCAACTAATCGAGATAACTTACAAAGGCACCAAGTTCTCTTCTGACTCTTCCATTTGTTCAAATTCTTGTCTGGCCTTGTCTCGTTGATCTTCAAGGCCCGACAGGTCTGCCAGTGGCTGCTTTCTGCGGGTGTTGGCGATGATGGCTTCCCACTGCAGTACAGATCGCTCTGCGTTCTCCAGGCGGCTGAGATTCGTACCAAGTGATGCGCCGATCACCAGTGGCGGCTCCCAACCAGGAGGGACTGGTCGCCGCTCCCTATTAGTGATCGCATGAATTCCAGAGGATGCCTGGGAAGCTATCTCGAAGGAACTGGGCGTTGCCACCCGTTGTTCTCCTAGTCGATTTGCTTCGTTATCCGCCGAAGTGGTCCCAGGTGGCCGTTCGTCTGTTTGAGGTACACCTTTAGAGGGTTCGTCTTGCCTTGCCCGAAGCCTTTGGCTTCGTCTGGGTCCAAGGTTGATTTCTATATTGGCTGGATCACGTCCCGGACGCCAGCCGGGCGCGAGAGTGCCAGGCGTGTCGCTTGTGGTTTGTCGCCAAGAATTAGGATTCTCTGCGTCCTTTTTGGTGTTTGCTCTGCGCTTGCCCTCCATGGTTATGATGACCTCTGTTGCCCCCAGATGAATGTTGAACGAGCAGATTGCACTTGATTTCCTCAGCCAATTTCTACTCGATGTCTCACATGAAAGCTGAGCCTTGAATCAACAATGTTATTCCTTGCACTCTTTGTCTTATCGGCCAGTAGGCAATACCACCATCTTGGACGGTGGCGTTCTGTCGGCGAACAAAGAAATATTGGATTGCCAACCCCGCCCTTCATTGAGATTTGGAACGTGATTATGGCTTGGTTTCTTTCACTTTGTGGTAAGTGTATTTTTGGCTCATTCAAGCGATATAGCCCTGTGCTCAATGCGGAGCGTAATGGCCGACTCCTTTGTTGTACTTATTATGAGTGAGGTCCTGAAAGATGTCCATGCTTGAGGTTTGTACCTAAATGAACTTCTTTGTTCAGTTGGTCTTCTTTGAACCGTAACCAACCAGATGAATGAATTTACTCACAAGCTCCTCTCCCATTTCAACATTTGTTCCCTTCTATTCAATCATTCCTGTGTTCTCCTTCTTCTTCTACTTCTCTGAACACCTCGCTTGACAACTGCTTCTACCCACGTACCCATTTTCCTTGATATAGACACCTGTTGTTGGCATAACTAGGAGAACTGCACAATGGAGGAGTCTACCGACAATGATAACACTTTGCGACCTTCTGAATTGAACCCAAGCTATGGTACCTCCTCAGAGTTTACACCAGCCGCTTCTGGTGGGACACGAAGACGCCGTCGTTCTGACAGAATTGTAAAAGTGTTGGGTGAGCTAAATAGTTAAAATTAGTTGGAGAAATGCGCTGACAATTACAAGAAACAGTTTTGATGTCCTTCAGCCTTGGATTTGAGGACCTCCCATCTGAGGCCCAGCAAGCCTACATACGCTTCCAGCAGAACCAGGATTTCCGCGAGTTTGGTGCTGCCCTCAGGCACTTACTTTTAGAAGAAAGGCTAGATGAACTAATGCGAGAATCGCCTGACTTCTTACACGCTGCCGCCGAATTGGTTGGTAATAGATATCCCCATCTGAACCTCCAAGAACGTCTTGATGGTATGGTTATTCCTGTCTGTAGAAACTGTGTACTAACTATGTACCCAAGATCTCGAGGACAGCAAGAGAAAAGACTCGCCGAAAAGACGGTCCAACCGCTCGGACAAATCCCGACGTCGTGCGAAGAAGGAGGCTCGGCGCGGCGACGAGACCATGTCGAGTAATAACAATACCGATCGTATGTTTCTTACCTTGTTATGATTAGATCAGATATTGATACTAGTGCTAGGTCCTTCGAATGCAAGGTTAGCAAAAACAATTACTACGAAGACTCGAACTCGCCAGAAGAAAGGCCGGAAGGGTCAGACAGTAGATCGGACTCAACTCGAGATACGCGCCCAGTCTGGCTCGTCGGAAATTCCTACTATCAACGTTGTGTCAGACGAAACCGCGGGCAATGATGGAGGCAATAGTGCTCCTGTCAATACACCAGTGCTACCAGGTTTTGTCATCAGTACCCGGACAAGCTCTAGAAATCAAGAAGGGGCCACATCCGGAATTGAAAAGCTACGCAGTAGTCAGAGCCAGAAAACAGCTCGATCTAAAAACCCGACACATCTTCCCAAACCTGACGTCAATCTTTATCCTTACAAAGGATGGAAGGTTGAACAACCGACTGTTCTTCTTCATCAAGCCAGGAACTTTCTCGCAGACGAGGATATCGACCGAACTTTGGACTGGAGTCAGAAGTTCGCGGAACTAACTGAGTATTTCTCGTATCTCCTTTACAATTGGCAAGGCGAGGAATGGGGCGCTGAGTTACATGAGGTTATTGACATGCTTCACACGCATTGGATATTTGAGCAATACCATTACGGCATGCCCAAGCTAAACCTCAATTTCGACAACGCGTGGCCGAAGCAAAGTAAGAGGCTACCGCCTATTCCGGGCACAAATCGCCCCGTTGAGATGTCGGACGGGGCGGATGATGAAGACTTGGGCGAGAGAAAGCTGCTCCTCAACAAAATCCGCCCAGCCATTGATGTTCACTACAAGGTGCCTTCGAGAGCACTTTTGAAGTGCATCGAACTTTACACTGCCGATGCCCCTCATACTTGGGAGGTTCCATTTGAATCCGTCTCTTCTGATCGAGGACTGATGAATCTGGAGAATGAGATTTATGAAGAGTGCGTCTTCTCGAACATGTCGGACACCTGCAAGCGCCTCGAAGCAGCCGAAGCCGATTTCAAGTCAGAGCACGACAAAGAGACTTTTGGCTTTGAGGCACTTCAGGCGTTTGCCACGCTTCGTGGAACTCGACGTGCGGCTCTTCAACAGACCTTGAGCCCTCTGAACAATGACGAGAACCTTGCCGTCTGTAATGTCTTCCGCACACTTATCCTACCTCAAGCCAAGATTCCAGAAAAACCAGATGCGGGTATTATTCTTCCTACTATGCAGGTTTCCGAGGTCCCTCAGAAGGAGTCTCGGGATCCCTTTGGCTACACTATAGCGCATAGGTGGTACATGAGAGCAGACCAGCACTGGGGAGACTGGGCGCATGAGCATGCCATCAAAGAATGTCATGGTCACAAGTTGTGGCGAAATCGCAAAGAGCCCATCATGGATCTTCCTAAGAATTTCAAGGGACCTTACATTCACGACTTTTTGGATCATGAAATGAAAAAGGTCGTGTCACTCCTGAAAATATGTGAAGTCCTACGGGATCGTCTATTATTGCAGAAAGAACGAACGCCGCGGGGTTTCCTGACAGATGTTGCCAAGTGCCTGGATGATGGATTGGCAGGAAAACACTGGGTAGATGCCGGCCTAGAGTTCTCTGAAGAGGATGTCGTACCTAGTTCCCAAGACTTGGTTCACATTAGACCCGAGGAGGAAGACTTTTTGCGCTTGCTGGGTCAAAATTCTATCAACAAAAAGACAGTGAACCCCAGAATCAAGGGTGTCAAAGTCGGCCATCGTTCTCGACTGTTTGAAAAGAGAGTCAAGGACATGTTCTATGGAGAAGGCACGACGAACGTCTACAGGCTTGGCTTCGACGAGTTCATGAAAGAACTCAATCGGGATTGTGATGGCCCAGTAAAGTGTTGGAGATTTTCGGAAGATGAGGCTTGGAATGAAGCTTCTAAACTCCAGAAAAAAGGAGTCATCGTATTACATGGACAAACAGTGTTCCGCGCTGAGGCTAATCTTCACCCTGAGCAACTTGTCAGGTGGCTCGACACAGACAAGGACCTGGATGCATTCGTACAAGAGTGGGACCCAGTCAGCCCCCAAGAACCCATCGAGAATGCTGAGGCCAGTCACGAAAACGATGAGATCGAAACAATCTCGACGGTTATCAGTATCCCTGAGTCGAAGAACCCTGGAGATTACCTATTCGGGCTACCCAGAAGTGAACATCTTCGCGACTATGAAGATCTCGCGGAGCTTGTTTCTGACATTGGCAATGACACACTTAAGCAAGATATGCGAAAGACCAAAAAATTCTACACCCGCCTTTGCTTTCGACTTGGAAGGACTATCCGCGACCTCCGAGCCAAGCAGGAGACATACAGGCGACAACTCACCTTGGATCAGCGAGAAGATAATCGCGATTTCTTGGATTTCGTCGTAAGACTGTGGGATTCCGATGCTAATGTACGACCAAACAAAAAGGACAAGAACCCAAAGAGGGGCGATCGCAAGTGGATTACACCGGAATACCAAGATATCATCAAGATGGTTGAGCCAGAGGCTTACAACACAACCTGGGACCATGCGAACCGGGAGAAAATTCGAAAAGGAATTATTCGCGAGGCCTATGAAAACAAGAGCATGATTTTCCCAAGCCGTATTGATCGTTATACTGACGAGGACGGCCTGACAGTTGAGCTACCCCGTCGTCATGAACCGGTGTGGTCTTTTGCACACCCTGGACGAAAAGCCAAGGCACCACAATACTGGGACATGAATCGCTGGCCACTTCATCTTCAGAGAGAATCGACAGCGGAGAGAATTAGATCAGGAAATTTTCATGCGGACACTCAAGAGAACCCGCCATTTTCGCCCACTATTGTCACCCCTTCAGTCTCTCCTGTTACGCCAACTAGACAACAGACAAGACGAGAAATAGACGAAGAAGTGGATGAAGATACTGCACTATCGACTACCTCAGCAGAAGGGACAGACACATACGTAAAAGAGACTCAAACTATTCCCGGACTTGGGAAAGATTTTGTTGTGACGTATGGAGATGTGGCAGAGTCTCGTCGCACTTTCACGCCTGGGCCACCCCAATATCTCCTCGGTAGTACTCCCCTGCAGAAGAAATATGTTGAGAACTACATCAAGAGAGGTGAGTTACGGTCTATGTTACCTTGGGGTTTCTTCTAACAGTTGATAGGAATCGCGTCAGCGGAGACGCCTACCTTTACCTGGCGTCAGCGCTTAGGAGCTCTGTTTGGTCGTAGAATCGTGAATGACCCGACGGCTCTGCCAGAAGTCAACCCTCGCGATATCCCTCAGAGCAAGCCACGAAGTAAAACTTCCGATGACGAAGATTCCGAAGAGGATATGCCTGGTGTCATGGAAAATGACGATATTGACGTTGTGATGGAAGAACTGGTGACACAGAAACCACGCAACGATGAACAAGAGCCTCTAGAAACACCCTCACCAATGGTACCGTCCTTCCCTCATACCTCCGAAGTACCTGGAGAGTCTACTCCTGTAGCTGTTCAGGGTGTAGGTCGTTTGGCCGGGCAGGGAAGTGAGCGGCAAAACCCTAGGTCATGGTCACGACGACGATCCCGCCATCTGGAATCCCAACGGCTCCACTTGACGATAGAGCAGCCAGACTCGGAGGCCTCTGTTGAGTACACAGAGGAAGAAATGCCATAGTCAAGTCGTAGGGTTGTTTATGGTTCGGGCTGACGAGAGTAACTGAAGCGTGATGTGGTCGAACTCTCGATTACTGATTAGGGAACGGAGTGGCTGTGAGATATGGGATTTGATGGGCCCTCATGTTATAAGATCTCGGAGACTGGTCATAGATTTTGGAGCTTTCAATATTGTAAGGCTTATGGTTGCTATTGAGACTTGTACGGGTATGAGCTTGTAGGGAAATTTAACGTCAGAGTTTGGGTTGTCTTCGCAGTTAATCTCACCTGTGGTTTCGTTCTACTGCTGCCTGATGATATCACCAGGTCCATAAGGCTTGAACCATCGGTTCCCTCCAGCCGTTGTCTCGTTAGCTAGCAGAGCAGTGAGTATTTCACGGTCTTTGAATGGTTTGTTCTTGACAAGTCTTCTCCGCGATTCCCCGTTTTTTTACTCCCCAACATCAAGGAAGCTGTCTGACACGATACCTTCGGCGAAACACAAATGGGTAAAGATTTGCGGGTTCGTCGACGGGGCGACATGGGTAGTAACAATATCGTTGAAGTTGATTGATTGATTACTGCTTCTTTGATCTTGAAAAGGGTGACTTTGTTGGAAAATATTTTAGATTTATATACCAACATCGCTATAGGCAAGATTCGATGTTGATACTGTAAGATGTTCTGGGTATCTGTTCAAACAGTCAACGTTACATGCTGTGCTCAGAGAGGAATGGTGTAAGCTGGTGAGAACTCATGGGCGAATGACCTGGATTGAAGAATTTGTAGCTAGTCTCTTAGGATCGGTACCAGTATAATATAAGCATCTAACATTAGTTTACTTGATTTCTGTGGAACTTTCACTTTGATCATTGAGCATGTGTGCGCCTCTGTTATAGCATAGTACAGTGGCTAGCTCTTATACTCGACTTTTATATACGTCAAGTCGAAGATTGCCCCAAGTAGTTAGATAAATTATAAACTCCCCGACTCGATGACCAGTTAAAGGGACCTGGCGACATATTAAATAGTCTCGAAGATCGAAAGAAGATATCAAAGATAACCCATACTGCCCTGTTCAGCTGCTTATTAGTGGGTTTTTACCCCAGGACTCTTAATGGCTGTTGAAGTTTTAATGTCGACCAGCAGGTTTCCATTTTTTTTATAATCGATCTGCAGTTGAATCGATCGATGAAAGATGTTAATATCAACGCGGTCTAGTTAAAGAAAGAAGAAGGCTGTGCCTGGATATCGGTTAACCCATGTAGGTAACCCGAAACAAGCTGATGTATAGATCCGCCCGAGACAAACTACTATGGCCCTCTCTATCTGTACCACCATGATGCCTTTGTCTTGATTCGGCCTGCTAACAACCCAGTGACGTCAAAAGGTCATTGTTCATGGAAACCTGGGGTTGAGGTTGAGCGACATAAGTTAGATTTCATCCACGAGATAGAAACTGTGGAGAAGCTGAGAGGGTCTTTTGCAAAAACGGTCTGATGGTTCATCGTTTAGAGGTGAATTTCTATAGTTGATTGGCTAGTTGAGAACACAGCGGATACAATGCAAGTTGAGTCTTGGCATCAACAACGACAGGGACTGAAGCGTTGCAATGGCACGTTTTTGACTGTCCGAGAGTCCGGTCAAGTTGACGTTATACGGCATCGTACTGTGTAGAGAGGTTGTGCTTCGCCAATCCTCAAAAGCAACAATTGAGTGATGAGTTGCTTTCATAACTAGTAAAGTCTCTTCTCTTGATTGATGTTAACAGCTAAGAGACGGTAAAGTTGAGCCTCAGTTCTAGGCGATACTAGTAATATCCCAAGACATTGGCAAGACGGGAAGGAATAACCTTCCACGAATATTTCCATATCACGTGCGAAGCAATAACTTCCTTTCTTCTAGATCCAGGAACAAAACTTGTCTTTTTCTAATACAAGGGACATCGAGAGTCTGGTTTGTTCTGTCAATGAATCTTATGCCCTGAAGGACCCTCACTTAAAGAACGCCGAGTGCTATGACGTCGCATTCCCCACGCTCCAGCCTTCAGGACCCCCTGATGTTTAGTTTACTTCCCCAACTCTCCACAGAATTTTGGCCAGAGTTTACATGCTTCTCCACGATCGATGTTTACTGCAAGTGTGGAGGATGACACTGTGTAAATCATGGTGATTCCACAGAAAGCAGTCGTTTGCTGAAGATGAACATTTTTCAGCTATCTGTCACTCGTTTAGATCTGCAGAAGCGTTCAAGGTCCCGACAACATCCGTTCGCTCTTGAAATTTCCCTAAAACTTTCATCCTGGTACAGGGATCATGGCCATGCCGATCATGTCCTCATACAAGTGCAGAAGACAGAGAGTCAGTACATACCTTACTGTATACACAGTACGGTCCTGCCCTTGGCCGATGGGTCCATCATAAACAGCCAAGACCGATGACCATGGATGTATAACCAAGGTCCGACTGTGAGACCAGCTTCGGTGTCTGGTTTAGGTGGAGATGTTATTCGAGGCCCAGTAGCATGTCCTACATGACTGCGGTACAAAATGAGAACATCCTCGGTCTCTGTTTTCTTTATAACACCAACTGGCTCCTCCTTGGATGCCCATGTTTACCACATAAACTTCGTTCTGTCTCTCAGTATAGAGTTTGGGTGTCAGCTTTGATACACCTTCACCATGTTCAAGAAGTACTTTGGCCTTCAAGGCCAGTCCCTCAACTATGCCATCAGTGCTATTGCAGGAACTGATTTCCTGCTCTTTGGTTACGGTAAGGTTGACCTTCGCGCTTGCAGACAAGACAGCAAGTTGAATATGGGCTTTCCAATGAACCTGAACTTACAATTGCTGCAGACCAAGGTGTTATGGGCGGTATTCTAACAATGGCTCCATTCATGGAACAGTTCCCTGATATGCACAGCGAGGATCCTAGCGTGTCCGCAGCGGTTCGAAAGGACCGCTCAAACTACCAAGGCATTGCCGTGTCCTCTTACAACCTGGGCTGCTTCTTTGGCGCTATCATTACCATCTTCCTCGGAAACAAACTTGGCCGCAGAAAGATGATCATGCTTGGAACCACAATCATGGTTATTGGCGCCGCTCTTCAGGCCTCTGCGTACTCTCTGGAACACTTTATCATCGGACGAATAATTACTGGCCTCGGCAACGGTGGTAACACCTCTACCGTCCCCATGTGGCAATCCGAAACATGCTCTGCCCACAAGCGTGGTAAACTGGTCATGATTGAAGGTGCTCTGATCACACTTGGTATCACTATTTCCTACTGGGTCGACTATGGCATGTACTTTGCGCAGGACACCTCCGCTTGCTGGCGATTCCCTATGGCTTTTCAAATCGTCTTCTGTCTCATCATCATGGCCTTTGTCATGAACCTACCCGAATCTCCCCGCTGGCTTGTGCTTAAGGGTCGTGATGATGATGCCAAGGAAGTAATTGCTGCGATTGCTGGCCAAGATGTTCAGAGCAAGTACGTCGACAACGAATTCCGGGCCATGAAGGATACTACCACAGAGATGAGCAAGGGAGCCTTCTCGGATTTGTTCTCTCGTAACCACAACAAGAATTTCCATCGCACTATCCTTGCTTTTGTCAATCAAATGTTCCAACAGGTAAGACAGCTTCCCTTAGTGTTGGATTAAAGTATGCTGATCTTATAATAACAGATTTCTGGTATCAACCTGATCACTTACTATGCCGCTTCCATCTACTCCGGACTCGGCATGACGGGACATATGCCACTTCTCATGGCTGCCCTGAACGGTACCGAGTACTTTTTGGCCTCTCTTCCTGCAATCTGGCTGGTGGAGCGTGTTGGTCGCCGAAAACTCATGCTTTTTGGTGCAGCTGGACAATGTGCATCCATGGCTATCCTCGCTGGTGTAGGCTCTAGTGACGCGAGAGCATGTCAGATTGTGGGTATCGTGTTTCTGTTTGTTTTTAACTCGTTCTTCGCCGTTGGTTGGCTTGGAATGACCTGGCTATACCCAGCTGAGATTACACCTTTGAGAATCCGTGCCCCTGCCAACGCTCTATCGACTTCGAGTAATTGGATCTTCAACTGGTTGGTTGTTATGATTACTCCTCCAGCATTTGAGAACATCGGATCCAACACGTACATCATATTCGCCGTCATCAACGCCATCATGGTTCCCTCGGTTTACTTCTTTTTCCCTGAGACGGCATATCGATCCTTGGAGGAAATGGATACCATCTTCCAAAAGGTGGAGCATGGGTTGAAGGGCGCTCTCGGCGTTGTTAAGCAGGCCAAGGTCGAGCCTCGAAGATACGACAACAACGGAAACCTTTTGATAGCTGTCGAAGAAGTGGACGAGAAGGCTCATGCTGAGCACCGAAGCGGACGTGGAAGCTCGAGTGGACAAAGCGGTGAGCATAACAACGCCGCCATATTCACGTCGCACGATGAGGAAAACCAGCGCCGTGAGACTTGAAGAGATGTTATTGGTTGATGGTGGTCTTCTTTTGGAGAAGCTGTCATACTCTAAAATGGATGAAAGATCACGATGAGGCTGAGTGTAGAACTGGCATCATGCATGATGAAGATATACCATAGATACCCGTTTCAATAGAAGTCTGCCTACATGATGAAGCCCCATGAATAAAGAGTTTGATTTCTTACATGTTTCAACGAGCGGTTGAAAATGGCCTATTTCCTTAGAGCGATGCCTAATACGTCCTGGAAGAAAGAGTTGGCGGGTTGGTTCATGTATCACAAGCCAACATCTGAGACGTGTTTCAGCTCTGAATATGACCGGTAACAACTCTAAGTTTAGCAGCTGATACCCACTAAACAGCTTTACAGCTTTACTCTATTGGTTCCTCTTGAGCTACCCCGCCATTGTTGACATGCTTGGGTTGTCACCTCCTCCCAGACATGAAGCAACCACGGATCTTAGAGAAGACCATACTAGGTATCAAACTACAGGGGATAAAAGGCTGATTGATTAGTAGGCATAAACTATCAGCTTTACGAGGTCCTATTTAACCTCTTTCATCACTTTTATTCTAGATTACTTATTTAGTGCTCTTCCATCTTTTATCCCCCCTCCTCCACTTGAACGGACCCTTCTAAACCCCACTTCAGCATCCCGCCCGCCACGACGTTACCTCACCTTCCACCTCCAACTTCCTTCACTTGTTCAAAGTCCATTAACATTTCTCGTACACAAAATCTTTCACAATGGTCGACCGTCCTAACAAGCCTTCGGCACTTGCCTCAACCCCCGCAGCTCCTCCCCAAGCTGTTGCCGACATTACCCACGACAACTCCCGTGTCAAGGCCGTTCTTCCCTCGGGCGAGAGTGTCGAGGTCCTCCTCCATGGTGCCACCGTAATCAGCTGGAAGGACGCTTCAGGAGCCGAGAAGCTCTGGGTTAGCGAGACTGCTGCTCTTGATGGCAGTGCCCCCGTTCGAGGAGGCATTCCTATCGTCTTCCCTGTATGACCACCTCCAAACCACAATCTCACATTGCTGTCTCTAATTCGAATCTCCGCAGGTCTTTGGTACCGCCCCTGACCATGAACCCGTAGCCAAGCTTCCCCAGCACGGATTTGCTCGCAACTCACGATGGGAGTTCCTTGGCAAGTCCACCAGCGAGGGCTCCAGCTCTAGCGTCAAGCTCGACTTTGGCCTGTCCTCTGAGAGCATCAGCGACGACTTCAAGGCGCTCTGGCCCTACAAGTTTGCTCTTATCTACAGTGTTTCTCTCGACAGCGAGAGTCTCGGCACCACAATCGTTGTCACCAACGACGGCGACGACGCGTTTGACTTCCAGACTCTTCTTCACACTTACTTCAAGATCAGCGTATGTCTATACTCATCTATATCGAACGAGCTTGAACTAACTATTCCAAGGATATCGCCTCCACAGAGGTTACTGGTCTCGAGGACTCTGTCTACTTCTCCAAGGTTTCCAGCTCAGAGGCCACTCAATCCGGCGCCATCACCTTCTCTGGCGAGACCGACTCTGTGTACACGCCCGCCAACGGTCCCAAGCACCCCGTCGTCATCTCCGAGTCCGGCAGCCCCCGCTACCGCATTGTCCGCGACAACCTCGACCAGGTCGTTGTCTGGAACCCGTGGGTTGACAAATCCGCCGGCATCAAAGACTTTTCTCCCAAGGACGGCTGGAAGAACATGCTGTGCGTTGAGCCTGGTTCCGTCAAGGGCTGGCAGAAACTGGAGAAGGGTGACGCTTTCGAGGCGGCGCAAACCATCACACTGGCTTGATGGTGCGACGGTCCTGTTAAGAGTGGCGGGGGAGCGATCAAATTCAAGATATGACAGTTTTTACGCAACGGCAGCACAATAATTTCAGATGGACATGATATCAGTTTACATCTATTTTGACAACTAGATAAGGTACAGCAGTACCAAATGTTAAGTCCATATCCATGCTTAGAGCTCAGAGAGAAGCAAGTAACACATTGAATAAATAAATAAATAAAGGTCAATAGATTGTGCCCAATATTGTTCAGAAATGAACTGTTACTCATATCACGTCTCATTCGTGCCATTCTTCTTTATGATGCTCTCAGGGCACCATGCGTGCTTTTCATATTGTTATTTCCTATAATTGATGGATATACCCATTTTCATTGCCTCAAACTCTTACAAAACGCATTCCCCATTCATACCGCCTTTTCTTCTCTCGAGAAATGATCCGCCACCAAGAAAGCCAGCTCGAGAGCCTGCTTCTCGTTGAGTCTCGGGTCGCAGAAACTAGTGTAGTTCGTCGACAAATCGTCCTCGCCCAAGTCCTCGCTGCCACCCAAACACTCTGTAACAGCATCACCAGTGAGCTCAAGGTGCATACCGCCAAGATTGCTACCCTGCTCCTTGTGGATGCGTAGCGTCTCTTGAAGCTCACGGTAGATATCGCCGAAACGACGTGTTTTGATGCCTGTCGGCGTGGACAGTGTGTTACCGTGCATTGGGTCACATTGCCAGACAACAGTGCGGCGGTACTCTGAGTCTTCGACAGCACGAATGTGCGTGGGTAGGAGATCGCCCACTTTGGCGGCGCCGTAGCGTGTGATGAGAGTGATCTTACCGGGCTCGCAAGATGGGTTTAGGGTGCGGAGGAGAGAGAGGAGGTCTGAGGCTGGTGTTGTAGGGCCGACCTTGATACCAATAGGGTTGGCAATGCCACGGAAGAACTCAACGTGAGCATGGTCAATCTGACGTGTACGATCACCGATCCAGATGAAGTGTGCAGAGGTATCGTAGTATTCTTTCTTCTCGCCGTCGCCACCCAGAGGCGTGGGGCTTACGGTCCGGGCAACAGGCTTGTCAAGCAGACGGGTCAGAGGCTGCTCATAATCAAGCAGGAGACCCTCGTGGCTGGTGAAGAGCTCAACAGAGTCCAGCTCGCCAGGTCGAGCGTTAATGACTTGGAGGAAACGCAGTGTCTGCTGGATGCTCGAAGCAATAGTTGAGTACTTCTCCTTAAGCTCCGGGTCCCGCACATGGCCGAGGCCCCAGTCAAGCGGCCGGTGGAGATCAGCGATACCCGAGGCGAGAGCGGCACGGATGTAGTTCAGGGTCGCGGCAGAGTGGTGGTAGGCCTTGACAAGGCGGTTAGGATCAATTTCGCGATCCTCAAGACGGAAGCCGTTGATGATGTCGCCCTTGAAACTGGGAACTTCCTTCCCGTCAACCATTTCAGTAGGACTCGATCGCGGCTTCGCATACTGTCCAGCCATTCGACCAATGCGCACGACTCGCTTGTTGGTTCCCCAGATGAGAACAACGCTCATTTGCAACAGCAGCTTGATCTTGCTCTCGATAGGGCCCTGGCGGCAGTAGTCAAAGAGCTCTGCGCAATCGCCGCCCTGGAGAAGAAAGGCGTTGCCTTGTGCGACATCGCGGAGATGAGCCTTCAGAGCAATGATTTCATTGGGATGTACCAAAGGAGGAAGATCGGTGAGTTCCTGAACTGCTTTGGCGAGAGGCTCTGGATCAGGGTAGTTGGGGGATTGCTTGATGGGCTTTGAGCGCCAAGAGGAGGGATCCCAGGCGGCGGAGGAGGATGAAGCCATATTGAAAGCCGGGTTGTGTAAGAGTGGAATAAGATACAAATTCAACAGAGTAGAACCACACAAAGGTGACAAACTCAAATAACCAGAATTGATCTATTCGGTTCTCCTGTAACGCTCTCAAGTCAGTTGAAAAAGTGGTGGAGGAATTGAATCGAAGGTGTTGGAGAAATGAGTCACAGTGAACAAAGAAAGATGCTCAAGATGCAGCAGACCCTGGAAAATGAAGTCGGACGACAAGGCCAATTAACAAAGAAATGTGGCGTAACCGAATAAAAACTCCGTCATTTTCTTTCCACACATTGATTGGAGTTTATTATGTGGCGTCAACAAACTTGGACGAATAATGCTCAAAAGGATAAATGGAAAGTACACTACAGCCTGATCTAAACCATTCATAACACGTTTAATGATGCTTGAATGAGACTGAATAGAGACAAAGGATAGTTATTGAAGCCGAATCGAGACATTGGATTGTATGCCTTACAGAACTTACATACACACAGTAGTCATTAGTTTTGAATGCAAAGTTCTAATAGGTTTTAATATGTAAATAATGAGAGGTAAAATTCCATTAGTAGTCTGTCATATGAGCTTCAACCATACTGCCTCGGCGGGAGAAGAATGGGAGGCCTGGACCTGCTTGCCCCCTCCAAACCCCACCATAGCTTCCATCACCTCCACTATAATTCCAACCACCTAAAATCAACCCAAGTTAGCTTCACCTTGATCATTACTTCCATATAATCCACACTACCAAAAAACACAATAGAAACAAAATGGCCGACGAAACCCCCTCTCAAACAGCAAAGTCCGCCGAGGACCGCAAAGCCGCCTCAGCCCTCGAGAATCTCGACGCTGCCGACTCTCCTTCGACACCACAAAACGTTGACGCCGACGCGGCCAACAAAGCAATCAAGACCCTCGGCGGCGCCAGCAAGTCCGCAGCCGCAGCCGCCTCCAACAAGAACGTCAAAGTTGATGCTGCTGACGTCGCTCTTCTCGTCGAGGAGCTCGAATTGCCCAAGCCAAAGGCTACCGAGCTGCTAAAGAGCAATGAGGGTGATGCTGTCAAGGCTATGAGGGCGTTTGTCAAGGCTTAAAGACGATACCACGATAAGGCGTTACATTTTCATCTTTCTCTGCCAAGAGCTGGTGGGAAATGGTGCGACAGTTAGGAAAAGGTCTTGATGGTTCCGGCGTTTAGCGAGCATGTAGCAAACATATTACCAACGATATGAGATTTACCCGTCTCGAGCCTTCTACAGTCACACAAACACGAGTCGGAAATATTGCAGATCAATCAACATGCTGGATTCTTAGTGTACCAGCTCTCAAATATGTGTACAAGTATCCAGTCAATGCCATTCCACCAAACGCCCAGTCGGAGGTCCTGTCTGTTCCCGTGGTATCCCCTCCTATGGCAAAATGAGTGATTGTTACCAGCCATGCCGTGTGACAGCAAAATCTAATATGAACCCATAAACTCCGGATCAAAACCTGTCCATGTACAATTATTCCACCTTGACCATATCCAGTCTATTACTGCCAGGTCCTCGCTAAAGGACTACCAATCTTGGGCGCAAACTGCAGACTCTTGCGTCGTGCAGCCATGAGTCGCATAAGAACACCATCATCCTTGGTCTGGCTGAGAAGTCCAGCGCCCATCTCACGGATGGACTTCTTTGGGGGGCACGTTCGCATCAGGAGAGCATCCTTCGTGGGTGACTCGTCCAAATCATCATCGTCATCATCATCAGCGGAAGCCGACTCGAGGTCGAGATTGGCGGCGTATCGTGCAATAGCCTCTGGAGCAGGTGTCTTGGGGACAGGAGTAAGAATTGCTTCAGACCACTCGAAATCCTCCATCTCCTCATCTTCGTCTTGCTCCGAGGGAGTATACATCCATTGTGTACTCTGGCGACGGTTGCTGGGGGTAGAAGGAGTAGTTCGAGAGCCTCCCTTCGTAGGACTGGTGACGAGAGTGCCGTTCATGTTGGCCAAAGCCTTGGGCTCCATACTCTTGCGACGGCGAGCTCCACCGCGGGGGACATTGCTTGTGTCGATCTTGTAGGGGCTTTCCTCAACCCAGTCATTCAAACGCTCGCAACTAGCACATGTTAGCTCTGGTGATCAAAACGAAAGAATGTGTCCAACTTACTCAAGCACCCAACTAACTCCAACACACTGGACGACTCCGTTGCTTTCACGGACCTTCTCCAGTGTGCGTTTGCTGCCATCCTTGAAAACAACATGTGTGATTCCAACCTTGTTTGAAGTCATATCGTTTTCGGAACTGCTGGGGTTCCAGCTCCATGACTTCATGCACTTGGCGCCCATCTGAGTGAGTAGGTCCACAAAGATGCTGCTAGCATCAGCTCCTTCGCTGGTATATACATCGACGAAGACGACGGCACCACGAAGGATGGCTGGGTTTAAATCGCGACGGGGTGTTCGTGCAGGTGTCCCCAATGAAGACCAAAGGTCTGACTTTGAGGGAGTGGCTGGAGGGGGGGTGGAGGGACTCTCAGGGATGGTAGCGGGCATGCTCTTCCTTCCTTTGGGAGAATATGGGACGGCAGTGGAGCTCCTTGTTGATCCAGAGGGACGCTTTGGGGGGGCTCGCGAGGCGCTGAAGCTACGCTTCTTAAGAGGGGTAGGTGAGGAGTCGTCCGCAGGCTTCAAAGGCACCTTGGTAGTGGTGTTGAAGGTCTTCATAACAGGGCGAACAGGGGTGGTAGGGACCATTGAGGAAGGAATCTCGTTCTCGTCACCATACTCTTGACTAGCTTCAGAGAGTGTGTCGTCAAACGCATCAGTGTTGACAACCTCGTCAAGGACATCAGGCTCCATCAGAGACATCTCGTTGGCCTCCTGAGCTAGTTCGACGTCTTCCTCAGTAACCTCCATGTCATCAAAATCGGGATCCACAACCTCTGCAGTGTTATCCGCTTGTAGATCTTCCATGCCTGCTCGAACAGTCATCTCATCATCAAAGAAATGAGTCGAAGCTGGCGATTCCACAGACTTGGGGGTAGCAACGTGTTCGGAAAGAACGGCGGCCTTTTTGTCTCCAGAAGTCAGAGGTGCCATTTTAACCGGAGTGCTAGCTTTCCAAGAACCCAGACGATCAGCAAGAGCGCTGAAGCCACCCATGGAAGCTCGAGAGGTCTTAGGTGTTTTGCGACCAAATGGTGTTGGAGTGACAGGCACTGCGTTGGTAGGTGCAGCATCCTCGTCGTCTGATTCCGAATCTGTATCCTGAGGTTCTAGATCCTTTTCTCGAAGCTGGTACATGGGGTTCTGTTCCTGCACGGGAGAGTGTGTAGGGACATCACTCTCGATTTCAGTCTCTTGGATACCAACGTCTGCCTGGACGACCTGCTCGTCACCAGTATCCTCGTCGACAACCATACTGTCCTCCTCTTCTTCGGTAAGATCAGCCGCATCTGTAGTTGGCTCGGGTTTGACAACAGCCTCCTTCTGAATATTCTCGACAATCTCTAGCTCAGCCTGGGGTTCTTCCACGTCTTCGATCTCCTCTTGAGACTGGTCGGCAATACCCATATCCTTCTTCCAAGCGGGATCAGCATGACGGGGGAGGACAGCAGACAGACGACCGGGGAACTCCAAGTTTTCCAAAGGCTGGTCGAAGACGTCGGCCTCGACTGTGTCGAGATCCAACTCAGCTTGCTCCTCTGACATGAGCTTATCAGAAGGTCGGATGGAGGGACCACGGGAAGGCGTGCCAAGAACCAAAGGCTTCATGATTGGTGGTTCGCCGAGGGCACGAACATCTTGGGGTCGAGGTTCTGTAACTGGCTTCAGCCCAGGCATGGCCCGCTTAGGTGGTGAAAGCAGAAGAGAAGCCTTCATTGCTGATTGGGATTGTTGGGGCTGTAAGGAAACTCCGAAGTTCAACCCCTTAATGGGTGACTGGGGTCGCTTAGCCGCAGATTGAAGTAGGGAGTTCTTGGAAGACATTCCATCTTCAGCCTGGTTGTCACCTTCCTGTGTCTTCTTCATAGTCGATCCAGGGAGAACAATGGGACCAATGCGGCGAGCTGGGGATCTCAAGGTGTCCTTGTCGGGTGAAGCAGGTTGCCTCTTAGCGGGAGATCTCAAAATCAGTGCGCCGAGGCTGGGAGGGTTACTGATGCTTTCAGAAGCACTTATTGACTCGGTGGGTTCTTCGGTGTGCTCCGGTTGGGTCTTGACAATGTTGGTAGGGGGCTTAATCGGGCTCTTCATCATGGGCTTGACAGGCGGCATGTCGCCGGCAAGTTCATCCTCGGATTCGTCGTCCTTCGAGACAGGTATCTGGGTAATCTTCTTAGGACTTAATGGTTTATTGTCTGTCGATTCAGCGGATCTTACCGCCGCTCTGGTTGTTCGACTTCCAGCTGCTCCTCCACGCTTGGCCGGCCGACCTCTAATTCCAGTTCGAGCAGGCTCCTTTGCCTCGACAGCAGGCTCGATATTCTCCTTATCAGGCTCTTGGAACTTGACGGATTTCTTTAGAGGAGGCTTGGCCAATGTTGTTGGCTTTGTAGCTGTCGATGATGCTGTAGTGCGAGTGCGTATTGTGGTAGTCTTCTTAACAGGCGCCGGGGCAGGTTCCTCAGTAGCAATTGCTTTCCTTGGCCGCCCTCGCGTAGGTTTGGCAGGGGCGGTGGCGGTGGTAGTGGTAGTCGACTTGGGAGCTTCAGTAGCAGTCTTCTTTACTATACGACCCCGTGTAGGCTTTGCAGGTGCTTCAGGTTCAGCCTCGGGCTCTTCGACATCCCCGGCTTTCCTTGGTCGACCACGCGTTCTCCTAACAACAGCAATTTCGCGCTGCTGCTCCTCATCTTCATCGTTCTCGTCTGCTCTTGTCTTTCTCTTGGCGGCTGTGCTCTTGGTACCCGCTGTTGCAGTGCTCCTCGCCCTTGCAGCAGCTGTGACAATCTTTGTGGTTTTCACGGAGGGATCTGTGGCTTTGGCAGCGGCTCTGGCCCGTGTCATTCTCTTGGGTGGTGAATCCATGATTGTGGACTTTTGCTGTGTTTGTTGTATGGTTAGTATAATGAAGAAGATGGGAAAGAATCTATGTCAGGGTCAAATCATCATGCACGATGAAATTGTTGATTCCAGGTTGGTGTCTGTTTCTGGCCGAAGGGTCTTATGTCTCTGTCCGTGTTTGTTGTCGTTGCTGGGCAACAACTCGCTTGAACCGGCATGGGTGCAGATCGCAGCTGCCAACCGTGAATGACCGCCCCGCAACCGGGACTATATCCCTTGTCAATAACGCGTACTAACCATATGTTTTGCAGGGTAGCGTGCTTCCAGATGATAATATGGAATATCTCTTACCTGCAGCACGAGTCAAATGTTTCACTTGGTTGCTGTATGTCTATCCAATGACGTGTTTCCTAATGATTCTTGTATTAAAGATGGGCAAAATAATCGCCTCGAAATGAAGACGAGCCATATCAATTCCCCTTTCAGCCATTACTTCATCAGGGTTTCTCGAAGTCAGATATTAAAAGCTACTAGACATGAAAACGGAGAATGATGGGCACCAATTACCAATGAGAGAAGATGGATCGAACCGTTTGAACTCAATCGCATTCTGAAATGTGTGCACATAACAAGAGATGCCGCAAAACATGACCTGGAAGCTTTGTGGTGCGAAAGATCAACAGTCTGGGGACTAGTTTGAGATAGTGTAAACCTCCTCACTAATTTCATCTCTTGTCTCTCAGGAGTTAAAGCTTTAATCCCGTTCCTCTGAGTGATCAAAGCTGTAAATCTCCCCAAAAAACCATCATCCAACAAGTCAGGCTTATTACTGTCTCGCCATAAGCAAATTTGTATATCACCACTCAAATGCTTTTCAACCAGGCCCATCGGCTTTGAAAATTTGCATGTTTTCTTTTCAGTCCATATTTGTTTTCGCGCCGAAATGACAGTAAATCGATAGGCTCGGCAAAGTAGCACGGAAATAAATTGGCCGTTGGAACCAGAGTCATCCCAGTAGTCATCCCCACTGTGGTATCCCAATTTCGCCTTAACACCAGGCTGTACCGCCTCATCAAACAACATTGAAATCCAAAACTAAAGAAACGTAGTATCAAAATGTCAGGCGTGCCGAAAGCCACTGCTTGTAAACTCGCGCAACAAGAGGAGCAATCGACCCATCTTAGCCGTATCGCATAGGCTGTTGCCCTTGAGGTGCGCCGTGGGGAGGCCCCCATTGTTGCTGTGGTGGTCCTCCGCCGTTGGCCATGGCCTTGACATCTGGGCGATTCTCTAGCGGTTGATGGAAGTTGCAGATTCGGCATGCGACATCGGTATAGCCGGAGATGGACAAAGGGATGAGCGGCTGCAATAGTTGTTAGCTGATTGAAGGAAGAGTCAGAGGAGATCGGTCATACAATCCAACAGAATGTAAACCAAGGATTGCTCTTTTGGACATGCGCAGCCATGTTACCACAGTGGTGACATTGGCATACCATTCCCTCATAGCCTGGGACTTCCTTGCGGAAGGTGTGCTCACCGCACACGAAAAAGAAGAACATTGTTGAAGAGGTTTTTGAGCGGAGAGTGTTTGCGATGAATGGGCTATTGGCGGGTATTTGTCTCAATCAAGTACGACGTTGTGTGTGTCGAAACGAAGTTGATCGTCGCTGGCCCAGGAGTTGAGGTGGCGCGCCGTCGTCGTTAACTAGGCGGCGCAGTTCTTGGCAAGCTTAAGTTGTGGTCACAGGTCGGTCAGGTGTCAGTGTAGTTGGTAGGTATATATGTGAGTTGAAGCTGTATCTATCTTGGTGCTGGAAATGACTCAGGAGTCTATGGATGCGATATATCAAAATCAAGCGTTTCCTGAAAATAGAGAGTGTGAAGATAATGTATTTGCACTGCTGAAAGTGACAAGAGTTGGTGTTGATGTTGATAGAGTCAGGCACAGGAACAAGGTGATGACGAACGGTAGGGGGGCGCTTTCTTAGTGGAAAGGCTCCTGCCGCACGGACCACATCTTCTTACGACTGAGTTTCTGTCACTGCAGGTGATGCCTCTGGCAAGTACTAAGAAAAGGAAAGCTGGATGAGAGAGGATCTGATATTTTTCAACATACCTAAGAATTAACAAATGATTACACAATTCGCCTGTTTTACTTACATATTGTCCTAAAGTGTTATATCAACAATTGCAATCGGCGAACCAATCATGCTCGAAGGCGCAGAGTTATGCGTCATGGTACTGGCTCTGTAGTACTAAGTTAGTTCGTGGGGAAACTTTAACAGGCAGGGAAAAAAAAAAGTCAGCTTCAACTCATCACCACCAGCACGTTCGCATCGCCTACAACAACAGCTACAACTCTCGCGCAGTTGTCTTTTTTTCGTGGATTCCAGTGCAATCCCCAGGCCTCATCAATACATCTTCGGATTCTCCCCTTATAGACATACGATGCTCTACTAGACCATAGGGAAACCTTTGAACAAAGCTCCAACAACTACGCTACCAGACATGCTTTACGACCTCAACATCGCCTGGTCGCCCTCCACGACTGAGGAACAGCTTCTCCAGGCCCTCACTCTATCTTCATCTCTCGGGTACTCAACCGTCGCTCTCAATCACACGCTCACGCTACCGTTTCCTCCCAACCATACCGCGCCATTCCCGTCGATTCCATCGTCGCCAACCTCAAAGCTTCCAAATGTCCTCCACCGTGCGACTCTTCCTTTATCAGACCCTTCGGCCAATAATTACAGAATTCCGTTCCTCACTTCCACATACGACATCATCGCCACCCGTCCGCTCACGGACAAGGCCTTTCAAAACGCCTGCTTAACGCTCGACGTACCCATAATATCCGTGGACTTTACAAAGTACCTGGAATTCCACTTCAAACCGAAACCATGCATGGCGGCTGTCTCGCGGGGTATTCGCTTTGAGGTCTGTTACAGCCAAGCTCTGGCCGCCGATGCTCGAGGACGTGCAAACTTCATCTCAAATGTCACAGGTCTCATCCGGGCCACACGTGGTAGAGGCATACTACTCAGCAGCGAAGCCAAGGATGCGCTGTCGCTGAGGGCGCCTGCGGATGTGGTCAATCTACTGAGCGTATGGGGCTTGGGCAGTGAAAAGGGCATGCAAGGTCTTGGTGAGATACCGCGTTCTGTCGTTGTGAATGAGGGCATCAAGAGGAACGGCTTCAGGGGTGTTATTAACATCGTCGAAGTCGCCGAACAAGAAAAAGGGTCAAACGATAATGCGGATAGTAAAAACACAGGGAAAGATTCCGGAAAGAAGAACAAAAGCAAGGGACAGAATCAGAACCAAAAGCGTAAGAACGGCGAGGATGACAATCAGCAAATCAGCAAACGACAGGCCAAAAAGATGAAGCTAGCCCGGAGAAATGCAACAACGGAGCAGAAATGAGAAGGAAGAAATGAGCATTTCGGTATTCGGACTTGTCAAGTACAAGAGCCATGGCACCATGATACCCATACAATAGACAGATGCAAAATAATAAAAAAACATCGATCTGCTCTGGAGACTTGCTCACATGTATTATAAGACTACCTAGCTACAATATTACGAGCACAAGTGCTCTTCTCTTCGAAAGAAACCCAGAGTCTACCTCAAACACTACATTTTACTATCCCCGAATTCAACGCAATCCAGTCAAATGCCACATTATCTCACGGAGCACCCGTGGCACGAGCCTTGAGTGGCCCTGCTCCTCCACCCAAGTTGCCCAAGTCGAGGACACTGCTGAGTTTCGACGGGTCGGAGAGATCGATGGGAGCTCGGGTCTGTGAAGGAGCATTTCCAGAATTGGCGGTTGTGGGCCTGGTTCCGTCTAGGACAGGCGCAGCGATAGCTCCTGTGGTGTCAGGTCCCACGTTGCCGAGATCCATCGAAGGGGACATGGTAGGAGTGTCACCCTCAGACTCCTCCTGGGTAGGAGTCGGTTCAATGGTAGGCTCTGCTTGGCTGGAGGTGGCTTCAGCTTTGGGCTCTTCAACGGCTGTGGTAGACGGCTGTGTCGTAGGCTCTTCGATAGCAGTGGTGGAAGGCTGTGACACAGGCTCGTTGACAGCACTGGTAGAAGGTTGTGCAACGGGCTCCTCAGCAGCGCTGGTAGGAGGTGCTGGGGCAGGCTGTTCGATAGGTTGTTCAACAGGGCTGGTGGAAGGCCCAGTCGCAGGTGCTTCGAGGGCACTGGTAGGGAGCTTGGGAGTGATGCTCTGGGTTATGATAGGCCCGACAACGGCATACGGGTCTGATGCAAGTGTCGTCCTGGGCAGAGAGCTTTCGGGAATCGGGATCGTGGTAACGCCTGGCCCTGGGACTTGTCCAACAGGAGCGCTAGGGGCCTGAGGGGCCTGCACGGTGTGGATGATAGTAATAGGGTCCTTTACTGAGTTAGTGCGTGGTCATTTCAGAGTTCACGACGACTTACAGCTCCTTCTCCAGGAACAGTTATAGTAACGGGAGCCTTTGGCGAGTTAGTGCCTAATCCTGATCCTAATTAAAGACGGAGACAATGGTTGAGACTTACTGGTGCTTCTCCAGGGATGTGCACTGTCTCGGTGATGACCTGGTTAACGGTGACGGGCTCGACCTCGATGATGGTAATAGGTTCTTTGATGGTAACAGCAGGCTATAGACCAGTCAGCAGGCGAGTTCTGGCATATACTAGATTTGAACAAAGTTACTGGAGCTGGAGCCACTTCGGTGACGATCTGAACGTCGACCTGAGTAACGTATTGAGTCTCAACCTGAACTTGAGTGACAAACTGAGTCTCGACTTGGTTAATAACCTCGGTCTTGGTCTCGTAGACAGTTACAGGCTCTGCGTTGATAGTAACAGTAACAGGCTCAGCAGCGACTGGAGCCACGGCTGCAGGAGTCTGCAGAATGGTCCTGAGCTGTGTCATGGTCACCCTTTCAGTGGTGGTTTCGGTGATATAAGACAGCCTCAGTCTGAAGACATGTTAGTAAGTGTCGATTCTGTTTCCTCGATTTTCGTAGACTTGCCCTTCAAACTTGGCTGCGTTAACGGCTCCCTCGATCTCCTGCCTCTTTTTCATCCTCCCATGTCTTCCCGCGGCCTACTTTATAGTTAATATTGGCTTTCGTGGTATTTTGGTATAAGTCGAGTCCACCTACCTGCGCAACATGGGCGGCAGTAAGCCAATACAACAACTTCATGATGCTTGATCCTAACTCTCTCTCCTAATAAACTATTGATTTCTTTCGTGATTTGGTGTAAAAGAGCGGTATAACACAACAGTCCAGCCGTTGGTGACAGTTTTCGGTTTTGTGATGAATGAGCGACAGATGTACCGAGATGGTATTAAGAAAAGGTGCCTTAACCAACAGAAGTGGTTAAGTTAAGAAATAATAGCTGCACAGGGCAGAACAAGAATTGAAGGCGTGACAGCGAATCAACCAGTGAAAGAGCGAGCGATTGATTGATTGACTGGATGTCACGAGAGAGAAACAAGAAGAAGAACACAACGCATAGTAGAAACAGAATCAGATCAGAGGAGAAGGGACGAGAGGAGGGGGAGGACAATGGGATGATACTAGTTTATTCGCTATAGGTAGTGTAATAACTGAGGAAGCCCAACGTGCCGCGCGCCGCCGTTCACACCGTTAGAGGCGAGGCATGGCAGGCTAGGTGATAATGCAAGGCACAGCCGTTTGAACAGGGGCTCATTCTGGTGCATTTCGATTCCAGAATCTGAGGCTCAAACGGAGACTGCGACGATTGAGGTTAGGATGTGCCAGGGGTGTAAGTTTTGGAGACTCGCTATTGTAGCTTAAGAAACAGGGATCAGGGGTTGAAGAGTGGTTCCTGAGACGTTATGGCGACTATCCATACTCTGTAGGGAACATAACATCTTCAAAAAGTGATGAGCCTTGCTAGTAGATAACTCTAATTCAAAGGTATAAGAAGGCTTCCGGTCAGCAACATCTTGGCAATTCAATAGCTCATCTCAGTCTCGATATTTTATACATACGTATATCCTGGAGCTTGGCAAGTCTGAGGAAGTTTTCCTGCCTACGGTAATATACCTATTAGCTAAAAAGGAGGCCAACACGGGCACCATCGTTTGACAGGACTTGGCAAAGATAATACACATTTACTGAGTTTTGTTTAGCGCTGTTACTGCACACAATCACATCTGAAAAGGCCATCTTGGCGACCAAAGAGGCAAACAAAAAGCACACGATAATCGGTCTATTCCGTTGGGTCATGGTCTTGAAATTGAAGAAAAAAGGACGATTTGGATTGGCCGAATGCTAGGGGGGGGGAGAGAAGGGAAAGAGGGAAAAAAGACGCCCAGAATTCTCCGTCAATAGCGAGACGTAGCTGAAGCACCCCTTGTTCATCCGAGGTTTCGGAAGGGGCCGACTCCGCTCCTTTGAGTGTTTTGGCCGATGCGCCAAGAATATTGAGTCTCTGTCTTTTGATTAGAAATTCAGGTGATTTAATAAATGTCATTGTTTCGAATTAATAAGGGTTTTTAAATCATGACGAAGAATAAGGCTGAGTCTAAAGGGCACTTGGACTTGATATGCACGTAGTATAAGTCGACAGCCAACTTGGCTCTACAAGGATATTGTCTTAGTAGATACTACACCACGTTAAAGCATTTCCAGATCAAAACATCTGCGGTCCCATGATTAAAGAAACAAGAAACTAGACGACTCGGATCATTGTTTCAAAAGAGGTTCCAAACCATCCTTCACCTTCATTCGTCCTAGTCGTTTATTGCGCCTAATTCCCCATGACATAACTCCCGGAATCCAAACTACTTTTGATCACTCAGTGGCATGCATTCATGCGTCAACACCAAAACCAAGATCCCATCAGTTTTCACCCCCATTCACCTTGACAGAACTCGAGCCAGTCTTTTCGCTGGGAGGCACGTTGCATCCGGCGCTTCCCACCAAATCTCCAGGCTGGTCGAGCTCCTCCTGGGTCGAACCGTAGTCCGTATATCCCGATTCCTCCGAATGGGTTTCAGAACCCTCGGGGATAGGAACCATGGCCGTCTTGGTCCAGATGTGCACCGCGCGTTTCCAGTCCAATCCGTCGAGGCAGCCTCCCTTGACGGATATAACGTTTTTGGACTGTGGGCATGATGAGTTTGAGTTTCGGTCAAAGTAAGAGGGTACGAGCGAGGGGACTGTTTGTCACTTACAGGAGTTGAGTGGATGAGACGAGTTCCGCATTTGCGACAAAAGTAACTATTCGGGCAATAGTAAGCGGCCCAGTCATACTCAGAGGATTTAAAAAAACATACCAGTAGAGTTGATGTCCCGATGCTGTAGGTCGACTAGATATTAGTTAGTCACAGCTATTCACTTAACCGCAATGGCCAATTCTCACCTATACACGCTTAGAAGGTCCGTATCAGGCAACTCGAAGCGAGGAAAGATGGCCGAAGTGCCAAAAGCCGAGCCCGTTTGTCGTCTACAAGCGTCGCAGTGACAGATGTAGAGAGCAAGAGGTTGAGGCAGGGGAGTCTTGAAAGTCACAGAACCACATTGACACCGGGCCTCCATGATTGTTGTAGAGAAATAAGAAAGACCGTTAAGAGTTGTCGTTATTTGTAAGCCGAGTATTGTTCCAGAAATGACATTCGTTGTCTATTCGTACAAGGTGGAGGAAAAGGTGCTTTGTGAAGGCGGGGTTGAATAATCAATCACCAATTAAGTAACCATACACACATTTGATGTTGAACAACAGCAACAAAATAACAATTCCGAGGAATCACACATATAAGAGAGTTGAGAAACAAGCCATTACTAACTTATCCCCGTTATCGCTAAAAGAAAAAGAAAAAGAGAGCTAATTAACTTGACTCCGCGTGTGACGTGACTCATGCGGCACAGTTTGGCGAGAGTTGCGCGAAGTCACATGGCATTAAATTATCCCGACTGAGATGCATGCTTACTATACAAAGTATCGTTGACTAGATAGCAGATAACTAGTAATATAATAAGGTCATTCTCTTCTTCTTATCATATAAAGATTCATTACTCTCGTAATTCATACTCTCAATCTTGTAGTGCGCCAAAGAACCTCCCAGCAGTACCTATTATACAAATGCTCAAGCAAGATATCCATCCAACTCATCCATCCTATGCCTCAATGAAATGATTTATCATGTCTTGGTGATACACCAACAACTATTGCCTCTGCTTAGTCGGCACTTCCACCGTAGACTCTTCCGTCGTAGTGTTTGCAGCAGTACCAGCTTCTGCCTCACGGTTCCTCAATCCAATGTCAGTCTTGATCCACTCCATCTTCTCCTGTACCTTTTCAGTACACACGACCACAACCTTTTTCAACTCTCCCTCTCTCAATTCTCTCTGCAGTGTCTCGCACCACATAAGCTTATCCGCGTCACTCATCTCCCTCGCAACAACCTCCATTTCAACCCTCTCCAGCCTCTTCATATTTCCAAGTCCCTCGCCAACCCATTGCCGCGCCGCTTCCGCTCTGCGCTCCACTCCGCCTCCGTACGCCGGCCCCGTCACCACCGAGGTGCTCGCCCCAAGAACCATTTTCATCCGCAGCCCTCGGACACCTGGTGCCCATTCACGGCACAGAGCACGCCATTCCTCGCGACCTGCGCCTCCGACTACCACGTCTCGTGCAAGAACTTCTAGTCTTACATAGCGTAGGGCAGCGCGCTGCCAGGGGGCGAGGGCTCGGGTGAAGGCGCGTGCTGCCCAGAGTCCCGAAGCGAACCAGTTGACAAAAACAAACTCATTCCGTTCAAAGGGTATAAGACGAGCTTCGCTGTAGATTTGTCTATTGGTGCGTAAAAGACTTGTGGGCAGGCCTGAAAGGGGCCGGTATGGTGAGAGCAGTCCTTGGTCTGGTTCTGTGTGACCTTTTGATGTAGCGCTCTCGGGTTCGGCTTTCAAACCAGCGGGCTGTAGGATGTATTGGCAGTGAACTGGAGTCGGATACCATGGCGCGAGCTGCGCGTGGCGAACAGGGCACATGAGATGAAGCCAATGGTAGATATGAAGTCGAATCTCGGGCGGCAGTGTCATAAATGTGACTTTGTTCGCGGGTTTCACGAGCATCGAGTCTGACATGATGCGCGGTGTCGCTTCATGGCTCGATACGATATCAATATGCGGTGCCAAGGATTGCGATGTGCTGTTGTATGAACTCGGGTGCATGCCAGCGCCATGGCAGCACAATTGGTATGAAGATATCATGACGGATCACTCACTGGGTAGATGGCAACAGTTGAGCGACTTGAATGAAGAAGAAAGAAAGAACCTAGACTTGGGCCAAGCTTCTGTTCAAAGTTGTATAAGTAGGGAGGTAAGCTGCCATGCATGGCGTGCTGTCTGTCTTGAATGCTGCCAGAAAAGCCAGTACAGCATCATCTGCATAATATGTCGTATTATTTTCTTCAGATCCCCCGCCTGTCAGTCCCGTGAGCACTAATACCCAACCTTAGCATCCCAACCATGTGTTATCTAAACGCGGGGAACGGGAGCTTTGGCGTACCACGGACGTTTGAGTGACGACATTGGGAGGCTATGACGACGAATGGCATTGAATAGCGACCTCCGATCAGCATATCGGCCTTGGCGGAGGAAGGCTTCGTGTTGGAGCTAAGAGATGGTTGAGAAAGAAGGATTGTAAGCTTAGAATATCAAATTGCTATCTCGGGCTTGCTGCTTCGGATTTCCAAGGGAGCTATAAGTCATGATGGACGCAGTTGATATCATACAAGTCGGATAGACTGATACACATGGCAGAATTGCAATAAACCTGGGCGCATCGCCTCATTGAAACGTGTTCATCAATTCTCATCAATGAGCGCGACAGACATCACGAGTCATGCCAATCCGTCGACTAAATACTGCTTGTACCATTGCTTTAGACCTAAGCAGTCGTCAGCTTACCTCGCAATCATCTGGGTATCAAAAACAAACCACTCACTCAACTACAACCCATTCCAAAACGCCTCCATCCAAATCAGTCTAGTAACAAGGCGACAACGCATCAGAACGCTTTATATCAGGAGCAACTTGCACCACGTCTATGAGGGAGCAGAACCCTGCTGCATCTGCGGTAGCGGCTGGATAGTAGGTGGTATACCAACACCTTGAAGTCCCTTGTAGACGTAGACGCCCTTAAAGGTATCTTCCTTGCGTTCATACTCGACATTGCGGGGGACCTCAAAGTCTCCTCTTGCCGCAAACCAAAGCAATGTCTCTGGCTCGGGCCCTCTGACTTGCACTGGGGCCGCAGCTGGCTGTTCCTCTTCCTCTTCCTCTTCCTCTTCCTCTTCGTCCTCTTCGTCCTCATCATCGTCGTCCTCGATGCCCTTCCGTAGACCAGTGCGCACGTTCTCGGTTCCGTTTGCGCGCTCCTCCGCTGTATAGGGATCGTTGTTCTCGTTGGCAGCAAAGTAACCCACCCGGTCTGAAAGCCAGGCTCGTAGTTCCTTCCATATGTTTTCTAGAGATTCCAGACCAGCTGGTGTGGCGAGACGAGATGTTTCGAGACCTTGACTGACGAGTTCTTCGATGTCGGGTTCGAGCTTCTTGCGGAGGAGCTGGAGGAGGACGTTTTCGTGAACGCGGCCGGGATAGTTGGTCGAAGGATGAATGGCCATACGATTGAAGAGGTCTGCATTTTCGTTTGTGCTCTCGAGAAGGGATCTGAGGTTCTTCTGTAGAATTTTTGCTGACGCTTGGATTGATTTACTGATGAACCAGGTCAGCTACTGCGATTCGACGGCGCATATGCGGTGAAGGACAACGTACGGCGGTGGTAGGGGGTTACTCTTGAGAAGATCTTGTCTGAAGCTTTGGACACTACTTGATAGCTGTGCCACCTTGCTCAGTGTCTGTTCAAGAGCCTTGAGCTCGTCGTCTTCCAGGTTGAGGGTGGCCATGATGATAGTTTTCAGGTAGAGAGCGCGATGCCGATCGCTGGGTCTTTTGGTAATTAAGATTATGCAGCTTATGAATAGAATTGAGATGGTATGACGAACAGTTATTGTTTCTAGTCCAAACGACACAAGTTTCTGAAAGTTGGTTGATTGTTTGGATAAAGGAAATTTAGTTGCGGCGCGGGGCATTTCAGAACTTCCAGATCAAAGCGCGTTATCGCGTAGAATGACCGGTGCCGGTGTCGGGTAGGTATAAACCAGAAGTCAACAGTAAAAATGTTCTATAAATCCTTAAAATTTATCATACTATATTAATAACCGAGGCTGAAGAAATAAGTACTTTGTCAATGTGATGGAAATATCCCTTCAATTGCTTGAAGGTGTTGAAGTTGAGAATATCCATACTCTCTGTGATTGTCAACACTTACATAGAATTGGTCACTCTTGCTTCTGCCTCAACACCTGCTACAAGAATATCAAACCAAGCCGAAATCCTTTTCTATCACCACCCTCTTGAAACCTCTAGAACAACGCCTAACTCACACACGGATACCTAGACCCTGAGTAGAGCGGGCCTTCTCTCCACTCACCCCAGATTCTCAACGTCATGGTTCCCTTTGCGACATAGACGCCAAAATCACACAATCTGCGCTTATAATGAGGAATTCTTACATGCCGGAGCGACGTTCCTATGAAATTCGAGCGATCGACCGCTTCGGGCCCGGAAGATGACACAGCCGATCTTCCAGAGTGGTGCCATATGTGTTATGCAAGGTACTTATTGATGTTGGGAATTGACATTGGTATTGTCAAAGCCAATGAATTGCCGCCTATCCTGAATTGAGGTGATGACATGGGATTTTGAATAGGTGGCAACAATCACGACTGTTGTCATCCCTTAATTCAATACTCAGTTACAATGTCCAGACCATCTAGCCTGTTGACGTAGACTTTATGTGAATCTTATAGCTGACGAGACACTTTCGATCCTAATAAAAAAAGAGTAGTGACCTTGACAACAGTGCCGCAGAGGTGAAACAATAGTGTGAGCATTATAATCAATGAATTTGCTGTAGATCAGAAAAATGCAAAATTAATCATGTTCATCTCTTATTTCGACTGTCTCATAAAAACCAAGACTTTTTGCTATAACATACAAAAAAACCCATGGCTAGCTATGCTTGATGCGGAGAAAACAAGTATCAAAATCCAATTCTGCTTGCGAAGTGCAGTTGCACACCAATAATAACCGCTGAATAGAACCATCAAATCACCAGCCAAAGAAAATAAAAAACATTTTTCTGTCATGTCTCATAAAGTTCCCATCAAGCGCAGGTAGCCTCAGCCGCTACGGACGTGTGATACGGCCTTACTCTCATATGCGTGAGCATCGACGACTGGGAAGCGAGCTCGGCGCTCAAGATCGTCGAGATCCATGTATGAGCGGATATACCTGCGGCAAACGGTGTTAGCATGCTTTGAACTCTGTGTAATGTGACGCCGTGGCTTGAGTAAATCGAATGTACCCGGGGCTGGCGATGGTGAACTATCCACTTACTTCTTCCTGCCATCGTCATCGGGGTTGTGGTCCCAGCTTGTAAACTCGCCCTCCTTTAGGGCATCCCACACTAC